TGTCCATCACCTGTAAGGCTCTTCTCTAGGCACTGGCTGACTTGATCCTGTGTGCTGAGTATGTTGCGGGGCTGGGGAGGACACTGAGTAAGTGGCAGAACCGGGGCCGGCTCGCCTGACCCCTTCCTTATTCAGTGCTCAGTGTCCCTTTGTTTATACATACGGTAATGACATCTGGCACCAGCTGGCCTCCCAGCTCAGGAGAATGAACTTTGTCCACTTAGTCCCTGCTGTCCCTGACCTTAAAGCAGCTCCCCTGCTTGTGCAGGTGGTTTTCTGTCTCCATGACCTCTGTGCAGACACAACCACACCAGCCTTTCTGGAGACATATCTCCTCCTCAGAGTACCTCCAGGACCCCCAAACTGGGTTTGTGGCTACGTGACTTCTGTCTTTGCTTTTTCTTTTTTTTTTTTTTTGGTACCAGGAATTGAACTTGTGACACTGCACTTGCCAGGCAAGCGCTGTGCTGCTGAGCTATACAGTATCCCCGGCAATGACTTACATCTTTTAAAAAACTCTGCTTGCTTTTCTTCTTTCTTTTTTTCTCTCTTCCTTTTTCTGTTTTTCTTTCTTCACTGATTGATTGAGTCAAGGTCTCACTACATAGTCCAGGTTGGCCTTGAACTCACAGTGATCTTTCTGCCCCAGCCTCCGGAGTGCTGGGATTATAGGCGTGCACACCCTGCCTGGCCCCTGGTTTTATTCACATACCAGATAAAATGTATAATTCAGTTATTTTAGCATATAGTTATTGCAAACATCACCACAATCAGAACATTTTCTGATTTTCTTCCCAGAAAGAAAACCCATTCCTGTTCTATTCTCTTCCTCCAGCCTAACTTCCCCAAGCCCTAGACAATCATTTATCTTTGTTCATAGATTTTCCTATTCTGAAAATTTCATGTAAATAAAATCATATATGCGACCTTTTATAACTGGGTTCTTTCACTTAGTATGTTTTCAGTGTTTACCCATGTTCTAGCGTAGGTTGTTTACACTTTGGGGTTACTGGAATAATGCTGCTGTGAACATTTGTAAATTGCATTTGGTGGGGGTACTTAGGATTAAGCCCAGAGCCTTCACAGTGAGCTACATCCCCAGCCCCACCCTCTTGGTTTTTTGAGACAAGGTCTCACTACACAGTGCAGGCTCTACTCGAACTCATAATGCTCCTGCCTGAGCCTCCCAAGCCCTCCCTCCTCCCTTTAAGAAAAGGTTTCACTAAATTGTCCTGAGCTCCACTTACAATGCTGGGATTACAGATGTGTGCCACACATTTTATGTAGATATTTTCATTCCCTTAAGTACCTAGGAGTGGAACTGCTGGGTCTTGTAACTCTGAGTAGTTGCTTATGGAGCAGCCAGACTTTTAGACCATTATACACTCCCACCAGCAGGGGATGAAATTCAGTTTCTCCATGTCCTCACCAATACTTGCTAATCATCTGTTAATTCTGATTGTAGCCATTTTATTTTGATGGGTGTGAAGTTCACTGTTTGCCAATTTGAAGAGAAGCAAGCAGCAGCTGTTCAGTAGTTTTCAGTCTTTTCATTTAACAAGAAACAGCCAGATTCCTCAGGCATCTTCAGGGATCAGGCGGGACAGGCACTAGTTAGCACTAGATGTCAAAGAGGCCCAGGCAGGTCTGTCAGTCTGGCCCCTCTCCAGGGACAGGCACGGGGCCCCTGAGTAACCGGGTGGTTACTCAGCCATTAGAGAACAGGGGAGCATGCATTTCTATTCAAAGCCTAACTGCCTCCTTTTGCTCCTGCGTATGGAGCCCAACATTGCACTAAGCATGTGGCCTACATGAACTCATCTGATCTCTGCAGCAGCCAAGAGCAAATCCTGCTGTAAAACCCAGCCGAGTGATCCTGGTGGGCTGTGTGCATCTGCTTTCCTCGGGGATGCGTCTACGTGGAAAATCCCTGGCCTCAACCTGAGAAAGGCCAACTTGGTGGGGAATGAGTTCACCCAATGACTTAGTGCAGAGCTACGTTTGTGGATTACTGCTAGTTAATGGCTTATACTTCATTTGGCCCCTTGCTCCTGAGCAGGAGCCTGGGCCTGGCCCAGCTCCCTTGAGTGTCTGGTGCAGATGAGGCCCTCAGGGAAGATGCGCCAAAGGAACATTCAGATGCACAAGCAAAAAAACATGTAGGATGGGTTCCTGCAGCTTTCCGAAGGCCGGGTATGAAAGCCACCTCCTCTGGAGTCCCAAGGGATTAACCAATGAGAGGGCTTGGACCACCGTGCTTGACTCACTGAGCAATGGAGACAGCACTGTGAAATGACTGCCATGGCCAGCTAGGCAGAGTCCCTCGGGCTTCTGGCCTTTCTGGGAATCAGCAGAAATTACCACTGCACAAGGGCTGTACCTCACCTTCCTCTCATTGTCAGGCACAAAAACCCAAGACTTCACACAAAGCTCTAGTTAAGAAAAATGCTACCAAACAAAGATGGTCCTTTTAAAAAACGCTGTGCAGGGTAGTGTAAGAGCATACTGAGGAACTTCACAGAATATACAAAGAGCCAGAACGGAATTTAGGACTCACCTTCCACTGGCTCCATCCCCAGCAGCCTCCACTTGTACCTAGGGAGGACGTTGCTATCCTGGAGTATGGGGCAGGGAACAAGGGGTAAAGCCTAGACGTGCCACCATTTGTGCTGATCTTGAGTAACATTTTCAGAGCTGAAAGTGCCCTCAGTTCTCAGGTGGAGAATGTGAAGTCTCGAGAGGGAAGGCACTTGCCCCACTTACAGGGAGCCAGACCAAGGCCAGGGACCTGCCATGCCTGCGTACCACAGTATCGAGGCTCTGGAGCTCACTGCTCCTTGGAATAGGTCTTTAAATGCAGCACGAAGTAGGGTTCCAAGCTTATTATACAAAGTTTAACAACTACCCTGCACATTTATTGATGAGTTAATAATTAACCTACTGATCTGCAACACCATCTGTTGTTAGTCAGTTTCATACATCAACAGGTCCCTTTGGTTCTTACTCTGCTGGGTTATTTGGATATCCAGTGCCAATACCATTACTGGCTCAACTGCCACTGCCTAATAAATACACTGATAGCTGCCAGGGAAGTCTCCCCTCTGTGCTATTTAGATTTCAGAATCAAATTCTACTAGACAAATTGAGACTTCAGTAAGAATTTACAAACTCATTCTTTGTATCAGCTTTATAGTATCTTTATATCATGTCAAGCCTTCCTATCCACCAATACTACAGATTTTCATTTCTTTAGGCTTGAATATTTTTCAGTAATGAATCTCTTTGTAGATGTGACAAAGTTCTTAGTTACTTTTGACAAGGTATCTTTTCTTGAATTATAAGCAGTGTAATGAAATGCATTCAATCTCTGTAAGTTAATCTTAAACCCAGAGCACCTGTTAATTCTTTTGGACCAAGTAGACAATCACTATCTGTGAAGAACTGAGTTGCTAGCTGGGCGTGGTGGCATGCCTATAATCCTAGCACTTGGGAGGCTGAGGCAGGAACAGTGCCATGAGTTCAAGGCCAGCGTGAGCTACATAAGTGAGCTCAAGCCCAATTTGGGCTGCACAGTAAGACCCTGTCTGAAACCCCACTCCCAAAACAGGAGCTGTTTCTCCCTTCTCTCTCCTTTCACTTTACTTTGTTTTTATCACTGCACTACGTCAGTGGCATCTCCAACACACTGAACAGATGCCATGATAGAGAATGCCTCTACTCATCCTGACCTTGAGTGTAGTACTTCAAGTACTTCACTATTGATTAAAATATGGTACTGGCTCAGCTTTTCTGCAGATATCCTTTGTGAGGTGAGGACAGATCCTTTTTATTCCTAGTTGCTAAGAGTTTGTTAAATGGGTATTTAATTTTACTGAGTATTTTGACTTCTTGAACCTACACACTGGCTGGCACAGAGACTAAAGGCAGAAAAGCTGCTTCCCCCAGCCAGTGTTCCAGTGTGACTTGCTTCCAACTGAGGCAGTGGACTGGACATTGGGCAGGGGCGGACTGAGGGAGGACTGCAGGAGCACTGCTGTCAGGTGCAGAAGAGCCTAGGCAACAGGGACCGCACGTGACCTTGAGGACACAATGTGGCTGCCCAACTGGAAAGGGGACAAGGTAGGCATCTGTTCACCACCCCTGGACACAGCCAGCTTTGCCTGGAACCAAAGAATTCCTTCCTGAGCCCCACAGTGAGCTTGGGCATTTGCAGCCCCTTCCCACTCACAGAAAGTGGTAGCCACAGCTAATTTTTTCTTCCGAAGAATTCCAGGTTCCAGTAGAACAGTGGAGAAATAAGGGCTGTGCTAACAGGTTTTACAAACGGTGGGTTCACCAGAGTGAAGACATACACATCCTCTCAAGGTCTAACACTTGTCTGGTGTCGGGGGATCTTTGGCCCATGAGCAGCTCTTGACTACTCTCTTCACAACTCCAAAGTACTGCCTGGGGGCAGAACGCGTCAGTGTAGCCTCAGGTGGCAAACCAGGATCCCCAGGCGAACTTCAGGAAGCACAGAGGCTGACTGAGCACAAGGAAGAATTTTCATACCAATGCCCCGGACGGGCCGGGAGTGCCCATCAGGGCAAGCGAGCAGAGAGACCTGATAACCATTCGCCAGGAACTGTGTAGAGAAGAAATAGGCCAGGAGCGAGCTGCTGCCCTCTGAAGTCCTTTAGCCCTGGAACGTGAAGTGACACCAGCTAACAGATGCCTGGGTTTTACTTGAGAGGCAAGTTGGTTAATGCAGTTTTTAGATCAGGACTGCTTGGCACATGGCACCATTTCCACAGGCTTCCCTGTCCTTTTTGGCACTGGCTTTGGCACTTTCGATCCTCTGGGTCAACCTGCCCACTCTCGATGAGCTGGAGGGCCTTTAGGAGCGTGTGCCCTCTGCATGTTTGCAAAGTGGATCAGGGACTTAAAACCAAAGGAAGGTGCCAGAAAGCAGAGCCCTCCAGTGGGAATTCTTACTTGTAGAGGAAGGACGGCTCCCTGACTTCTCCCTCACACACCAGCGTGGCCAGAACAGGGGCTTTATTGGTGAGGCTCAGGAACTAAGACAAAGCCCAGCATGCAGACTGAGAGGGCACTGTACAGCTGCCAAGAGATGAGGGGCATGGGCACCAGCCTCTGCAGGTGCTACTGCTTGGGCCACTTTGTCTCTTCTCAGTTCTTAAGGGGAAGTGTGCAGCAAGAGGGTTCAGCACTTCACAAACTGGTGTGTGACCTCGAAGATTCCCACAGACTCCTGAGCCTTTTCGTCATAGTCCGTCCAGTCCTAGGGAATAAGAGCGCAGTGTTAGCCTCACAGCACAGAATGTGTCACTCTGTAGAGTAGACAAGAAGGACTGAGGCCAGTTCAGCCTGTGGCTCTGGCTCAGATACCCATGACCATGCACCACCCAAGATAAAGCTGTAAAGCTTGGCCTGAACTCCAGCTCTGTCAGCCTTGTGTCTGTGCACAAGTCACTGAACTTCTCTAAGCCTCAGTTCTGTGCTGTATTAAAAAAGGGACAACGACAGACTTTACACTGAATGTGGAGAGAATCCAACGAGAAAACATGTTAAGCATGTGGCCCAGTACCTGGCCCAAAAAAGAGCTCAGTATATACCAGCTACTATTATTAGGGGCCATGCAAACAGAATGAAGACTCTTGCTTGTTTTGAGACAGGGTCTCACTATGTAGCGGTCTTGAACTCCTGAGCTCAACTGATCTGTCTCCCCTCAGCCACCCCAGTGCTGGGACTATAGGCACTGACTGCCTCCATGTCCAGCTTGGAAGTTTTTGCCCTTCCTTCCTTTGGGGCCTGAGCATAAGACTTTAGTACAGCCTAGTAACAATGATTACTTGTTAGCTCTATAAAGTCACTACAAACACTAAATTAATGAATACTGACCATTCTCCCAGGGGAAGTAAAAGGTTAGTTTCCTATGAGCCTCTGGTCATGTTTTCATTAACTGATCAATAGCTAACTTTGTTTTATGTACCCTTCTTTTTAGGCATCGTATTTAACATACTTTGACAATTGCTTGAGCTCACAGCCTACAGCACTGTAATTCATGCCTGAATGAAGATTATCTAACATTTCTTCCAGGCACATCCCAGCTTTCTTGCATAGGAACACTAAACAGCACCTCAGCACCACACTTGTGACCATTTAAATAGCAAAAAGTACAAAAAAATGCAGAACTAGCTCTCCACTGATCTGCTCAAAAAATTCCCACCGGATGTCCTATAGCACCCTGCAAGGCCCCCAAGTCACATACCTTCTCCTGCAAATTAATGTCACTGAAGACTGTCCCTGACTCCACACCCTCAGCAGCAAATCCTGCCTACAGGGGACAGGAGGGCAGCGGTTAGTCTCAGGGAAGGGAGGCACAGGACTTGCCTGGAAGGTGGCTTCTCTAGCAGATCTGGGATGGAGATGGAAATGCATGGTGTGTGACTATTCTGAAATAACTGCTGAGCTTCCAGGACCTGTTAGCTGGCTTTGGACTAGAGTAGTTCTTCTAAATTATAGCTCTGGACCAGAAAACAGGCATGAGGGAAACTCTTCCACTACCCCCGACTCACTGAGGACCCAGGGCATGTCACTCTTCTCTCTGGACCTTAGTTTTCTTATTTATGAAATGAGGTGACAATATCATCTCTTCTGTCTTACCTCACAGATCTCTTGTGAGGTGAAAATGCTGTACAAATAAGGGGGGTGAGCACTGGTTCTGGAGTCAGACAGCCCTCCACTGCTTACTATGTGACCCTGCATAGCTGCAAACTCTGTGAAGTTCTTTCTTCATATAAAAGAGGATGATTCACTTCATAGGGTTACTGTGAGGTAAAACAGGCACAGTGCCCAGTATACAGAAAGCACTTTCTTTTTTTTTGGTACCAGGAATCAAACTCAGGACCTTGCGTTTGCCAGGCAGGCACTTGTGCTGCTGAGCTACATCCCCGGCCCACAGAAGGCACTTTCTGAGTGACAATTACCACGTTCTTACAAAGGTGAATTCCTAGTCCATGGCTTCTGTAGGAAGCAATGTTCTGCAGTCACTTCATACATTCCCTCCTCAGAGACACAGGTTCCCCCAAAAGACACACATACCTGGGGCTGGAAATCAACTGGTTCAAGACCCCGGCACTCAAACTCCACAATTGTCTTGAACTTCTCATTATCTTCAGCCTGGAAAGGAAGTGTGTTGTGGAGGTAGGCCCAACTATGCTCTCAGGTTGAGCCATGTCCTTCCTGCCATGTGGGTCTTACTGCCCCTGTGAGCCTAGAATGGCAACCAGGAATAAACTCCTCCTTTCCAAAGAAGCCTGCTTGGGCAATGCTCCCCATGAGAGCCTCTGTGGGGAGACCCTGGCCAAAGTAGTGTTTGAAGTGAATGTGAAAAGTGAAGGGACTTTCTGGACAACATTTCAAGATTCCTGGAATGTATGGCTAGGGTTTAGAGCCGAAGCTGCAGGAAAAGTCAACAGAACTAAAAGCAGTTTTCAGGGATGTCTGCTTTGGCCATCATGTCCCCTCTGCCCTGGAAAGAGTACTTGAACTAGGTCGGCATGTGTAATGTAATGAACCATCCCATTCTGGCCCTGTCCCCTGACTGAAACTCCTACACAATATGTTGCAAATGCTTTTCTTCCACACCTTTGTTCTCATGTCCTTGTTTCAAATAAGTAACTGGACAAGTTTCAGCTTTCAAGCTGGACAAGTTTCAGCTTGCTGCTGTTTCCCTGAGGCTCCCTTATGCCAAAGAAGCAGTCTAAGTTCTCAGTGACCGAACTAAATCTCGTCTCCCAGTCATCTTCTTCACCCTTGTGCACGCACAGTCACACAATGCAACAACCCTCAGTGGACATGGACACTGCAGAAAAAGGATGTTGATTCTGGGGTCAGCCTATCTGGTTATGAGCTCTGCCTCTCTTCTCCTTGGGGCATTAAGAGTCCTAAAATGTCAAATGGAACTGAAGAAATCTTTACAGATTAACTGTGAGAATTTGAAATTTGTGTACATAGCCCAGCACAGGACCTAACACTATGCCCAATAAATGGTAGATAAAATCACCAATGGAATATTAAGCTACAAGGTCTCCATATAATCCAAATGGTCCCAGGACACTTAGCCTAACCTTCTGCTAACGACTATCATGCAACCAGGGCAGAGAGCTGCCTTTATTAAAGGCTTTTAAATAGCATATGGGTGGAGGGGGCATCTGTTTTGGGGGTGGGGAGCCAGGAAACATGCCTACCTGACCTATAGGTTCAGAAACCTCAAATGCCACACCCACATGCTGATTCTCATCCTGTCACTGTAAAAATTGTTTCCTGCATTTCAACTACATGTCTGGCACTGATGAACACTTTTCTGTTGGGTCTTGGTTGTCTGCTGGTCTTTTCCTACATTATGATTGACTTGAGGGCAAGTCCTTATTTAATTGCTCTCCAATTCAGAGTATTGTGAGAATCTGACATAACTGATATTTTTAATATCAAATAAAGATAAATACGAATAACTGCCATTCTTTATGCAGACTTAAAGTACTCAACCCCTCTCCCACCTTGGAGCTAGCCTGTTATGGAGTATTGCACAACTATCTATCAATGACACTGGCACTCTCCCAAATGGATTAAACCAAAGGACCGTCCCATCCACGCTTTCAGAGAAGACTCGCCACTCCCCTAAGATATAGACGAGGCAAGAGCTCTTGGCCATGGAAACTGAGCAGCTAGCTGGTGTCAGAAGTCTTTCTAGGTAGCCAGGCATTTATAGGAAGGCACTGCAGCAACCTGTTAACGAACTTTTTCTTTACCAGGCACCCAATACATGGTGAATAAGTGAGTGATTAAGCAAATGAACAACCAGTCAATTAAAGAATAAGTAAGAAATATGTGAGTGAATGCCCTATAGCAGGTCCCTCTGATGTAGCTACAACCCTAAAAACCCGGCCTCTTCATTTCCAGTTTATATGCAATCCCACCATGCTTACCACTACAGCGGTAAACTTACATTATAAGGCTTGATAGTGCTGCTCAAAATCTCTGAAACATAAAAGAGAAGACAAAGTTCACCTGAATCTGTATGGAGGCCCCACCCTAGTGACCAGATGTGGCTCTGGAAGACAGACAACTGCACAGGCTTTAGCGCCTCATACCTCAGTACACTAAGTAATATGAGCCTGCTCTCAGTCTGGTACTAGAAAGCTGTGGGCCAGCCTGGCAGAACCCAGTAATCACAGCCTGACCTACCGATGGAATTTTCCCGTGCACACAGCTTGCACTTCTGGACCATAGAGGCACTGCCACGACCTCCCTTCAACGCCACACTGTCCTGGTAAAGAGCAAACAGAATCTCTAGTCACATATCAATTTGATGCAAAGCTCTTGAGACCCCATCCTACCACTTATTACCCAACTGAAAAGACCAAGACCCAGAGAGGTCAACGACTTGCTAAAACAGGAATCCTGGAAACAGGCGCAGCTCAGTAGTCAAGTGCATACCGAATGTGTACAAACCCCTGGCTTCAATCTGCAGCACCAACAGAAAGCATCGGGGAGGCTTAATAAGACTGAGGAAGGGTTCTTTCTTAAATTCTGCCTCGTATCACAAAATGCCTGTTCCCAGTACTGATCACACTGAGGCCTGCCCTCCCAAACCACAAAAGGCAGGTCCAACGGACTAAAGAGATGAAAGCTAGTTTCTCCAAATTCCTGTCAAGAGATGCGTGTGTGTGTGTACTGGAGATCACCACTTACCATCAGGCGGATGTATTGCCACTTCTCTGAAATTTCCCCACAGTTGCCACATTTCATCTTGGGAGGGTAGGGGGAGAAAAGAAAACTAGTAAAGCAGCTTCGGACAATGAGAGATAGGAGGCTCATATCCCACCTTCTTGCTGACACTCTCCATTTTTGCAACCAAACCCAACAAGGACATAACCACTTATCTCTAGGCCAAGAACATGTCCAGGTGCTTCTCATGTTGGGGTACCTGCCTTCCTCTATGAAGTACCCAGCCTGAATGAGAACTTAAGGCTTAGGTGGCACAGAAATGGCTTCAACAGGCCCCCAGCCACTCGGCCTGGGTAGGAGAGTCCTTTGTGTCCCCACTGGCCCCGTCAATCCCTGATTTCAGTATGTATCACACCACTGTTACTCTGTTCTTCTGTCCCTATCCGTACACTCTGCATCTTGTAACCAAAGAACACTGATTCCACTAATAAACCCTGGAACTCAAGCTTCAAAAATATTTGGAAATAAAAGTCAAGGGTGGCTTCCTACAGGACAAGGCCTTTGATGGGTTCATAAGGATTCTGGGATTTGGACTAGAACACAGTGGAATCTCTGGGATCTGCATAGGGAAAGACCTTAAACTGTCCAGATAAGAAGAGGACCTCTTCACAACACGCTACTAGGGTACCAGGCATATCAGTGTGGTGTGGGAAGGAAAGGGTAGAACATGCGCAAAATTAAGCTATTTCAGGTTTTTCTCCGGTACCAGGAACCGAACTCACGACCTTGCGCCTGCCAGGCAGGCGCTTTTGCCGCTGAGCTAAATCCCCAGCCTCCAAAATTAAGCTATTTCACAATAAATACAATCTGATCAACAAAACAGGAGGTGAAATTTACCTTACTAAAGCACAAGATCCCTGCAAGTTGCACTTCGATTAGTGTCTATTTACAAAATATTTAACAAAGGCAAAAATGACCAATTTTTCAAAGACTGTCAAAGTTCACAAAAATTTCAGCCATAAAAACTCCAACATGTAATGATTAGGTATTTCTCACGCTGCTGGAGCTGCTGAGGTCAGGGCGGGCCACACCTCCCCGGGGTCCCGAGGTGCCCACTGCCTCCCGGAATGTCCTCCTCTGCAGGGGCCCTCTCCCCGCACCTTCAGGTACCACCGGAAGTCCTCGCCCAGCGGCCGGAGGTTGGTGATGTTCTCCAGCGTGGCTTTAAACTGCAGCGCGATTTTCTGAAGAGAGGGCGGGCCATACTGTCAACAGCGGCTGCGCCCCGCCCCAGGGTCCCCAGCTCTAGCTCTGCCGCCCACCTCCTCTGGAAGACCGCGTTCCCGTTATTTACTCCTGACGCGAGCCCCTGCCTCCCATTTCCTCACCCTCCCTGCACCCGCGTGTCCCGGCGCCTCAAAGCGGGCCACCGCCCCCTCACCCCCATGATGGTCGGCCTTAGCGCACCACAAGCTGCGGCCGCTACTTTCCGGCCTGTCGTAAAAGGGAGGCGCCACGCGCAGAGGTCTGGAGAGCGGGCGGGGCGGGGCTGCGGGCGTGGCGTGGCGGGGCGTGGCGTGGCGGGGCGGGGCCGGGCAAGGCTGCGGGTGCAGCTAGCTTGCAGGTAACCTACTTCGCGGACCTTGCCTTTTAGGTGAGCTGGAACCAGTGGTCAGTATGTTTAGCTCCGCGGAAACAGGTCTCCAGGAATTGGTGTCACAGATACTTACTGAACCCCGATTTTGTGCCAGCACTAAGCGGACAAGACAGTCCCTGCCCCTCGGTTCTTTCCTGGCTCACCCCTACTCTGCAGGCCCTGAGGTTTCTCGTACACCTGGTTCCTCTTGCCTAAGACCAGCGTCGTAGATTTGGGGATAGCTTCTTCTCTAAGCTGCTTCCTCTGGAGCTGCCAGAAGCCTGGTTTCTAGAAGCTCTCCAGGGCACTGCCCATGTCCTCATCCTTCTCCCCCTGGCACCTGACTGGACAGGCCACCCCAGAGGGCGCCCCTCTGCTCCCACTTGTCTTAGCCTAGCATGCCTTTACTGATACCACGCAGGCTGTGGGCACCATTAGACAGCGCCCCTCATTCAAGACTTACGTAATCTTTTGAGGTCCTCAGTGTCTTTAAAATTCGGAGTGACATTTTTTTGATGTCTGCTTGACCACCAGGCTGCCTCCCTGCCCCCAAGTACCCTTTATAGGAGGAGGCGACTTGGAGTCAGGAACCCTGACATGTAGGAGGATCACAAGGCTCCCCCTAACTTACCCATGATCTTTAAAGGAGGCACAATAAAGTGTGGTGGAAAAAGTACTGGCCCATGTTAAAAACCCTTGGGACCTGGGTTCTCAGGGATGTAGGTTTAAGTCTGTCACTTGACCTTTCAGTCAAATGACTTTTACCGAGGCCCACTTCTTTCGGCATGTGTTATCTAGTCAACCAGCGATTTGCCTGAAGAAGCCATGTGTTGTCTGGGTTTTGGCGGTACTAGGAATTGAAACTAAGACCTTTGTATTGAGTTGTATCACCAGACCTCTTTGTTGAGACAAGGTCTACCTAAGTTGCCCAGACAGGACTTTTAACTGGCGATCCTCCTGCCTCAGCCTCCCAAAGTTCTCAGATTACAGGTGGTACCATCAGGCCCTCAAGCCATGCTGTTTCAAGAAGCCATGGTGGCCTGGCGTGGTGGCCTGTAATCCCAGCACTCAGGAGACTGAGGCAGGAGGATTGCAGCACACTGGAGGCAAGCCTGGGCTACATAGTGAGTTCAAGGCCAGCCTGGACTACATAGTGAGACTCTGTCAGTGACTTGGCAAAATAAACATTGTCCCTTCAGATCAGTCTACTACTGAACAAACTCCCACACCATCTGTGCCAACTTGGTCTATTTTTAACGGCTGCTGGTTTTCCAAGTGCTCTACCACTGACCTATACCTCCAGCAATGAATGTGTCTTCTAAATTTCCTTTAAAGGTTTCCCCTCTGTTTCTCTTTCCAGTTATTTAAGACACCAAGTCATCTGTCCGGAATTTCCTTTGAATATTGTTGGTTGGCCTCATTTTTTAACATGTTTTTCTATTCTCCCTTTTTCCTGTAAAATGGTAGTTTTTATACAGTTGGCTAGATTTTTCAGCAATACTCCCCTAGGAATTTGTGTTTTACAAATTAACTAAGGAGAGTTCACACATGCAGATCTTTTATTAAATAACAAAAATTGGATTTTACATTTATTAAAGACAATCATAGTTTATAAAAAAATATTGCCTTGATATACACAAAAATTTCCTGATAATGGTAATTAAAACAACTATTCCTACCCCAGCACGTCCACATCAATATTCAATCTAAATTGGTTTGATCTTGAAGTGTAATCCAATAAGACTGAAGACCAAGCACTTCAGGTCCTGGACAAGATAATAAAATACTCTTAAGCCTTCTGGGTCCCTAAAATGTGAGGAGAGAAAAAATAAAAAAGCTGAGAAAAACTAGCAAGCCCCCCCCGCAACAAACCCCAGCAACAACTTTGATTATCTAACTAGGTGTTCCTTATGAGTGTATTTATGGTATTAAAACTTTGAACAACCACATACATGTCCATGAAAAAAGTAGAGGCTGCATATTAAAATGGAATATTAATATGATAATTTATTTTTTGGGTTTTTTTTGTTTTTTTTTTTTCCAGTACCAAGAATCAAACTCACGACCTTGCGCTTGCCAGGCAGGCACTGTGCCACTGAGCTAAATCCCCAGCCCCTAATATGATAATTTAAATGTTGAGTTTTTTGGGGGTGTAAAAATATACTAAGTGAAAAAACATCATGATTAAAGTAACAGACTGTTGACCTTAATTTTTTTGGCCTTTAAAAACTATGTACTTTGCAATACACAGGAAAAAAAGACTATAAAGATATATTTCAAGATATTAACAATGGTTTTATCTGTGTGCTCCACATCTGTGGGTTCATGGATCGAGTACACAGTAGACCTATGATGGTCACATCTATAATAGACATGTTCATAAATTTTTCCTTGTCATTATTTCATAAATAATACAGTAAGACCATTTACAAAATAGTAGGTAATATAATCTAGAAAGGATTTAAAGTATACATAAGGATGTACAGAGGTTATATAAAAACACTACCCCATTTTATATAAGAGACTTGAGCACCCACAGCTTTGGTGTCTGCAGTGAGTCCTGGAGTCAATCCCCTGTGGATACTTCAAGATGACTATAATTTGGAGACCTCACTATTGAGGGGACAAAACCACTCACCTCTGTCTTGCATTTGTATTAGATCATCCCATAATGGCCCCAATTTGATAAGGATTTATCAGTTTCCACCAGAACAGACACAAATGGATATAAGGATCATATACTTACTTGGACTGATTGACGTCAATAAGAGAACCAATTTTTGATGTTGTGAAAGAAATGTGTTCATCTCCAATGACAATTTCAAGCTCCTACAAACATTTAAAAAAAACCTAGGTTGAGCAGAATTGGATTCATTGCGCATACAGAAGAGTGGATCACTTGCCAAATCACTCAAATTCCACTACAGATGGCCACTTCAGCAAGGGCAGCTTTTTCTAAGCACTAAACTCTACCAGACACTAGAAAGAGAGGTAACATTGGTTTAGCCCTTGAGAAGCTCACCCTCTTACAAAAAGCTGTGTTATCAGGCTGCATCCTTTCTGAGATTTAGAAGAATTTACATACCACTTTATATCTGAGTTAACAGGGTGGAACACCACACATAGATCTGTTTTAAAATACCTAAGGTTCCAAGTTTTTGAGCAACATGGTCTAAGGAAAAGTATTTAAGACTTTGGGTTTGATTCCAGCTTTGCCATTCACTCTCAGACTGTGTGACCTTGGGTCTTGCTATGGCTTGTATCTAGATGTGTCCCCCAAAGCTTCATGCACTCAGAGGTGGGGCTTTTGTGAGGTGGCTGGATCTCGGATGTATGAATATAGAATATGTGCTAATGTAGCCCACCGATTGGTTTAGCATAGTTCTGAGTGTGGATACCACCCTGGTTGTGGTTCTAACAGCCAATAGGCTTATAGCCTGAATGGAATAAAAAGGGAAAAAGAAGGCTAGCTCTTCACTCCCTCTTGTCTGCCCTGCCACGGACTTATTTCTCCTCTCCCATGCCACCCTGCCTTGGAGCCAGCCCATTATGGACTGAAACCTCTACAAACTGCGAGCCAAAATAAACCTTTCCTCCTTTAACTTGTGGGTGTTGGGTATTTTTGTCCCAGGAATGAGAAAAGTAACTGAGACAAGTCTTAATTTCTAAGTAGTGACACAAGTACCATAAACCTTAAAAAAATATAGGGGTGCCTACTGTGTGCCAAGTATTCTTCTCAGTGCTTAGGACAGATCCACAAAATCTAACAAACCAAATTTTTTCTCTGCCCTTGTAAAATTTACATTCTAGTGAACCCTACTTAACTTTTTTAAAGAAATAGTAATGTTTATGTTCATCTCTCATTCTATTCTTCCTGCATCCCAAAAGTTGTTGGGGTATATTCCTTTCACTTGTAATTTTGATTTGGGAGTATGTTTTTAAATAAATGATCACACTTTCTATTTTTTTGCTGTTTGTTATTTTAATGAATCTGAAATAGTATCTTGTTCTAATTTGCACAAATGAAGCTGTAGATCTTTTCATCTTTACTGGCCACTAATTTTGAGTCTGTAAATTATCTACTTATAACCCTTGTATATTCTGCCACTGAGTAGTCTTTTTAATGGCGGGGGTGGGCAGATACTGACGATTGAACCCAAGACTTTGCTCAGCTCATGCTAGGTAAGTGCTCTACCACTGAGCTACAGCCCCAGTCTTTTTTTTCTTTCTTTCTTTTGAGACTGTGGCTACATTGCCCAGGCAGACCTAATGATCTTCCTGTCTCAGCCTACTGAGCAGCTGGGATTACAGGGATGTGCTAGCAGCCTGACTACTAATCTGTAGTTTTTATATATTCTAGACAGAAACTCCTTGCCAGTTGTATTTTACAAACAGCTTCTACCACTTTGTGGGTTATATTTAACTTTATCTTGACGTTGTTTGTCTCACAAAAGTGTTAAAGAATTTATCAACCTTTTCCCTTGAGTTTAAAAAAATCTTCTCTAACCAAAAATAGTAACACATAATTTACATTTTCTTCTGGTTTAACTTTTTGCTTTATTTCTATAAATGGTCTAATTTTAAAAAATATTACATAAATACGTCATGAACTGTCCTGGCATAATCTGTTTAACAATCTAGCCTTTTTCCACCTATTTATCTATCATGTGCCAGTCCAAGTTGCCATCTATTCACAGGTGTGTTTTGGGTTCCCTATTCTGATAATAGTTTAATTATCAAATTCTGAGACAATACTACTGTATATTACAAATACCTATAGGTTTACAAGTCTTCAGTGTTACCTTGGCTACTCCTGCCCCTTTAATCATCCATGAATTTAATGTTAATTCTGTTGGTTTCTTTAGAAAAATCCTATTGTGATTTTGATTTGAATTAGAATGAATTAATAAACTATTTTGGTAAAAACCAACATCTTTATGATAATGAATCTTCTCATTCATAAAGATGCGTTTTTTTTTTTTTTAGTAGTGGGAATTGAACAAACTCAGGACACTGCTTGCCAGGCAGTTGCTGTGCTGCTGAGCTATATCCTCGGCCCCTCAGATGCATATTTTTATGTCCTTTGATAAAGTCCTTTCCACGAATTTTATACATCTTGTTAAAGTTGGAAGTTCTTTATAACTTGTTGCTGTTATAAAGGGACAAGATCTCTCTGGAATGAGGAGGTCTTGTGGCCTACTTTCTGACAAGGATAGACCAGAGAATGTCCCTTCAGGTTTCAAGTTCCAAGACAGAAAGGGAGGGGAAGATTATAGATTCTATGACCTATTTTGGAAAGGGAGTTATGAGCCAGGTATCATGGTTAAAAACCACTATATATAAGCACAATATTAATTTAATAAATGCTAGAGATTTTACCATACACTGGCACTGATCAATTGATTGATTTGGAGATAGGCTTTCACTATGTAGCCTAGGCCAGCCTCAACTCTTGGTGATCCTCCTGCCTCAGTCTCCCAAGTGCTGGGATTACAGGCATATGCCACCAGGCCCAGCACAATGGTACTATTTTAGTCACTAGAGATATAGCAATGAAAAAAATAGGTAAAATCCATATACCAAAGGAGTTTGCATTTCTGTATGTGTCTGTACATAATCAAAGAAAAGCAAACAAGAAAAAAAATGTGTTTGGGGTGGGCAGTGTCAGGGACTGAATCCAGATCTCATGCATGATAGGCAAGTGTTCTACCACTAAACTATATCCCCAGCTCTAACACAATCTATTAAGGATAAATGCTAGGTAAGAAAACAAAAGATTTATTTTTTAAAATTATATGGAGGGGTTTCTGAGATTGGATGGACAGACATCACCATGGAAGTAACTTCTGAAAACTTCAGTAACAGTACTGAACAGAATTAAAAAACATTCTCTAGGAAGAATGTGGCAAAGGCCCTTGGAACCTCCACAGCTGTAACCTAAGTATGTCTGGGGAGCAGAAATGAAGTTGGTAAAGTTTGAACACGATGAGAGGGGTCAGTGGTAGAGGGTTAGGCAGGAGCTTGGATTTTTAAGTGCAGTGAGAAGTCAGTGAACAGTTTAAGTCCATGGAATATGTAAACAAATCTGCATTTTTAAAGATCACACTGGCTTTTGGAAACATGGGCTGCCCTAAGAGGAGAAACAAGGAAATAAATTACAAGCCTGGATAGGATGGCAGCAGTCAAGGAGGAATTACCTTTTCTGATAGCTAAGTCAAATATGCAAATGGATTTGCTATGTTTTATTTGTCTTTGTAGTCCCATAATACTCTGCCCACAGAAGTTACTTAATAAGTGAGGTGGACAACAAAAGCTCTGTGGCGGGGGTGGGGGTGGGGCGGTGCACTGGGTGTAACAAACAGAAATTCAGGGCCAAGCTCTAGATAGCCAGCAGCACTACCTACCTGCTCCTCTCCTCCTCCCTACAGAATTATGCTTCCTTACACCAAGTTGTGGTAACTTGCTTCACTGCAAGATCCATAACACACACGGGTTCAATGTCATATGCACAGCAATAAACCTTATATTCATTTCAGATTTCTTTTTTTTTGGGGGGGGGGAGCGTTCCGGTACCAGGAATTGAACTCGTGACCTCACGCTTGCCAGGCAGGTGATGTACTGCTCAGCTAAATCCCCAGCCCCTCATTTCAGATTTCTATACTACCAAACAGTCAATACAACACTCACCTGCCGGCCTACTCGGTCAGGAGGAGGCCACAAAGCATCATCCTCTTTGGTGATTTCACTGTCATCAATTATTCTCTTCAGTTCCTCCATCACACTTTTATGTACATAGGCCTGAGAGCAAGTCAAAAAACAGAATTTAGGTGTATCTCTAAGCACTCTGACACAGACAGTGATGGAAGACAGGAATGACTGCTCCTGAAGACCCATTCCTGGTGCCTCAGTAAGTAGAAAGGCATTCACGCTAGACCTCAGCATGCTGAAGAGGAGGCTCAGGGTCAGAAAGATAACACCCCAGTTCCCCAACTAGTTGTAACAACTTGTTCACATGTATCTTCCACCTGCCCTACACTCCCAGCTAGGAACTGAGCCCAAACAGACCTGCAAATGCCCCTGCTACGGTCTGAATGTTTTTGTTTACTCCAAAACGTATGTTGAAACTTAATCCCCAATACAACAGTATTAAGAGGTGGGGCCTTCTGGAGGCCATGAGGGTGGAACCTCACAAAAAGCTGGGCATGGTGGTGCATGCCTCTAACCCCAGAGGATCGCCACAAGTTCGAGGCCAGCCTGGGGTACAAAGCAAGTTCAAGGCCAGCCTGAACTACATAGCAAGCCCTTGTCTAAAAAAACAAAAAAGACCAAAGGGGAACTAGCTGCTCGCCTTTTTGCTCTTCTGCTATTGAGGACAAAGTGTTTGTTGCTTCTAGAGGACACAGCAATACACACCACATTGGAAGCAGAGATTGAGCCCTTACCACTCACTGAACCTGGCAGGGCCTTGACCCTGGACTTCACTGAGAGATGAATGCCTATCGCTTATAAATTACCCAGTCCCAGATATTTTGTTACAGCAGCACAAATGGGCTGATATACACCCCTACTCAATGGTATGGTTTGGACATGATTTGTGACCTCTCAAAGGTTCATGGTATATTAAAGGCTTGACAGCCAGTGTGGTAGTATTGGGAGGAAGCAGAGACTTTCAAGAGGTGGGGCCTAATGACACATGAGTCTCTCTCCGCTCCTGGTATGAGAGGTAGTCACTGCTCACACATGTGCTCCGCCTTTGCTGTCCATGCAGGGGAGACACAGTCAAGAGGCAGCCAGTCCTTACTGACCTGCGTGATGCCACTTGGACTTGGAACCTCTCTAGCTGTAAGCTAAATTAATTTTATTTTGCTAAGTATCCCATGTCTGCTAATACATCCTGGTATTAGATAACATAATTCTGGGAAACTGAGACGTATTTTTAAAAATACAATTTGCATACTAGCCCATGTTAAAAAAATTGTGAAGATATTGATATGTGACTAAGCATAAAATCAACTGTTAATTAAATAGTATGAAAAGATACTGGTTAAGACATTTTCACATGTGACAAAGTGATTAAAAGAGTAACTCTGATGAAGCCTTAACCGTACGATAGAAATCACTGTACAATAGGAACACACAGACCTCACTGAATTCCTGTTGTTAATCTCTTACTAGTAGTGACTGTGACCACATCCCATAGTTAATAGCTGCACCTTCACTCTCTTATATGTAAAGGATATATTCCCATCACCAGGGCTTATAATCAGCATTAAATAAGATCATATACGTAAAATACCTAGTGCCACATACATAGCATCTAACACACATTTAATGATGTTAACTGCCTTCCCATGTACTCCTTTCTCTTTTGGATGCTAACAGGTCTCTTCATTGAGTGCTCTGTGGCAGGAAAATGTATCAAGGCATTTTAACCATGAAGAAACAGAGTTTTATCAAGTGCAGGAAACTTGCCTACAAGTCACACACATGGTGTGTGCAGGTTGAGGGTTCAAGCCAAGGTACACCAGACTTCAAATAATTAAAGTAGTTGATTCATCGCTGTAAAGAAAATCCAAACTAAAAATTTTGAAAAATCTAGAAGCTGCTGACGGTTTTGTATCTACTTCCCTATTTATTATCTTCTAATAGTATTCCTAGAAAGAACCTAGACAGGCAGGTGAGCAACACCCCGGCCCACAAGAACCTAGACAATTCAAAACAAAAGACTAAATTGTAGTGAATGAAACACTCCTACCTCTTTTCTGATCATAACATCATTTTTGTAATTGCTGTTGTTGGCGTATCTCAATTTCCCTGTGAAGAGCAAACATAAATGCAATATACAATAAAAATATATGAATAAATCATCATTAACCTACCAAGACTCCCAGCTGTTTCCTAAGATATATCTTAACTGCTCTTCAAAGTGACTAACAATTACTATTTATGCTTTCTGTGTTTTAACATAACTAGTCTTTTCAGTTCCTCACTTTAGGCTATTAAACAGCTTCCCTGAAAAGCTAGAGCTGACCCTGAACTACAGTTCAAGCAAATGACATAATATGGTACAAGAACACAAAGGATACAAGCTAACGTCTTTAACTGACAACAGAGAGTATAACTGAAAACCCACCCACACAGAGAATGTGCTGAGGTTCAAATGAGTCATGAAAGCACTTTGAAAACTGAAGGATGCTGTTCACAAATTATCATACAACTATGCAGCACTCGGATCTGTTTCTGGGATGGAAAAGTTATGCTTTTATCACCGAACACACTTGGCTCACAAGGCTCTTTGTGCATGTGTGCAACCAACCAACAGACTAGTTTGGTATATGGTGGGCATGACGGGGGCAATAAAACAAATGATCTTTCCACTGTAGAAGACACATGTATAAAGGGTCAAATAATTTATTCCAAGAGGCTTTGCACTGTTCCTGTGTCCCAAGTCTGTCAATTCAGTTCATCCTCTACACAGTGCATAAGGTGATGTAGCAAAAAATCCATTTGATCAGATTGCTCTAACACTACGGTATTGCCAATGGCTTCCGCCCTCCTGACAAAATCCAAACTCCTTGTCAGGCGTACAACTCAGCTATGCCCTCCCTGTCTTTCCAGCCTCACTCCAAAAATTGTCTTCTCTCACATAGCTAGAGTCAAATTACTTTGTTTGGGTCTGAAACATCCCACCAACCTTCTAGCTTTCAACCTTTTTACTGTAAATGCTTCCCAAAACGCCTTCTGGACTCTTACTGCACATAGCCACTCCCAACTCCATCATTTTATGCAAGAAGCTTTTTTTCTCTAACCCTCAGGCTGGATTAGGGGCCTTCTCTTTGCTCCTAAAGTTTTCTGTTTCTTTGTATCAAAACACCCAACACACTGTTCTGTCACTATTTGTTTCAAACCTATCTCCCTCACTGTTGGGGCTTGTCAGATTCATCCTTGTGTTCAAGTTTTCAATCATCCTCAATTTCTCTTTTCTTCACCATCATGAAAGAAATATTATCCCAAATATCATACTCCAAATACTATCCATCAGCCAAATCCAATTACTTCTGCCTCCAAGAGTACGGTAAATCCTCTCCATCCTAGTCCCAATCAACACCTATTCTGTCTTGACAACTGTCACCATCTCCTCATTAATAATCCTGTTTTCACTCTTGCCAGTATCTTTTTCCGCCAGTGTTGGGGATTGAACCCAAAGCCTCACGCATGCTAGGGAAGCACTTTATCACTGAGCTACAGCCTCAGCTTTCCGTTCTTGCCAATTCTGCACCCAATAGCTAGAATTCTTTTTCAAGAACAAGTCACATTTTTAATTTGCTTAAAACTTTACAGCTGCATCCTGCTGCACTTAGAAATCTAAACCTTTACCATCCTATAAACACCTACGTCCGTGCTACTGCCCCTGTACACCTGAAATCATCTATGATCCTCGCCAAAGCTCACTATTATCTTCAGCCACCTCACTGGCCACCTGAAACATGCCTGGCTCTTTCCTGCCCTGGACATATGCTACTCCCTCTACAGAGTGCTCTTCCTCCTGAGCGTCACAAGGCTGGCTTCTTGTCAATCAGGACTCACTTCAAATATCCCTACTTAGGGAGCTCTTTAAAGCCCACTCTGCCTAAAAGCAGTCAATTCAGCAATCATCCCAACGTTTGGGATCATCCTAAATGATCCCACTACCCGGTATCATTTTCTGTTTGTTTGTTTGTTTAAGATCTCCCTCCTAGCACTAAACACAAGTTTCACGAGAAGGGAAGACTGTCCATCTCTGTAGCTGAGTCCTGCAGATCAGAACACAGCGCGCCATAACGTAAGCGTTTAACCCATTTGTTAAAGTGTAAGCAATCCCGACAAATTTGCGATCAAGCAGAAGCCGCTGTACATGGATTGAAAGCTGCAAAGGAGCGGACACAAAGCGTCCCTTTTGGACCCGAGCTGCACTAGTCTCATTCTTTTCCTCTAGTTCCCTGCCCCTTCCGAACGCCCGGCCTCCCCGCCCGTTCCTACGCCTAATCTCTGCTCCTGGCGGGCGAGAGACTGCGCTTACCATCGGGTCGGAACTCGAACTCCAGGAACTCGTGACCGAACTTGCCTTTGTGACCCACGTAGTAACGCAAATAAAAGTCACTCTCCATAGCTCGCATGGCACAGCCGAGACAGAGCTTTTCAGGACAAAACAGCACCACCCGGACCCGCGCCAAACACTGACGTTTACGGCGGCGCGCGGAAGTGACGTCACAAAGTCGTCGCCCAGTAGCTCCTTGCCTCCTACCAGGTGGAAACAAGACCGTCACGCCCCTCATCCCGAGGCGGGAACGGCACCGCCACGCCCCTCGCCCTTAGGCGGGTCAAGGCGCAGGGTTCCTCGAGAAGTTTCTCTCTGGGCATAAGGCGGTAAGCCACCCCTGAGCCCCCACTCCTGTACCTGATAGCTCGCTTAAAGAGTTTGGGCCCGACGTCTCGAGCCGTGGTCCGCACTTTGTAGAACACGGACACTGCTAGTCGCACTAAGCGCTTCGCCGCCTCTGGACCTGGTCTGAACAGTAAAATGGGACAAAATGACCCGACCTCCCTGAAAAGTGTGTATGAAATAGGATTTATTGCCGGGCGTGGTGGCGCACGCCTTTAAACCCAGCACTTGGCAGGCTGAGGCAGGAGGATCACGGCAGGTTCGAGGCCAGCGTACGCTACAAAGGAGTTCATAACGATTTACATAGTGAGACCCTGTCTCAAAAAAAGTGAAATAAAATAAAGCTTTACTGAACTATTCTGTTTTAAGAAAAGCCTTCTCAGTGACGCGTGCCCCGAATCTATAACGGAGACAGCGGAACTAGGTGCTCCGAGACTAATCTCCCAGTGACTCCCAGCCCTCACTGCACGTCAGAGTCGCATCGCATTAGAACCTCTAAAAGGTATTGAGGCCTGGGCCCTGCCCAAGCCCATGGAAATCCCCAATGGTGGACTTTGGTGTCGGTATTTTTTGTAAAGGTTCCCGGGTGCACCGCAGTTGGGAACCACCGCCCAAGGGGCTGTCTTTTCAAGGCTAACGTGGTTGACTTTTGAGAAAGCCTTCTGGCTTGAGTTGGCCAAAGGCAATCAATCCTAATTATGAACCCTCATTTAGCTCATTTAAATTACAGCTATAGAGCGAACAGCTCTAGAGACAGTGCTGAGATGACGTACATGGGGCCTGGAGGTGAACCTATTCTGTAAATCTGGCCAGTAGTTTCTGCTTCCTTTCCCATCTCCACAGTTAGTCCTTTTGTCCTTGAAAAAGACTTGGTAGCAGAGTGTAGAGTGGGCCTGGGGGAGGCGGGCGGGAGGTGACCACTCTGGAGATGGGTTAAAATAACGTTAGCTGATTCACTGTGACCATAGATGAACAGATTCAGATCTTTTTATACCTCAGTTGCCCTATTTTCAAAAACAAAACAGGCTGGAGGTGCAGCTCAGTGATAGAGTGCCTCCCTAGCATACAAGCCTTTGGTTCTATCTAGCACTACAAATAATAAATAAGCACAATAGTGTTATATACCTAGCAGCACTGCTATAAAAAGTAATGTTTTGGAAAATAGTTTGCCAACTGTAAGTCGCTGTAAAATCATGAGGCATTTTTATTACAAAGCACTAGATATGGATATGAAGGGAACTGTATAAAAAGAGAAGGGAATCACCGGGAATTAAGTGCCTCATACATGTCAGCCCTTAGACTGAGCCTATTTACATGTGTTTGTTCCTTGAACCATTTTGAGGTGATAACTTATAGAGCCATCCATCAGTTGTCACAAGGTTGTTTTCCAAGAGTCACAGACTAATCTGGGCATCAGCAGATGTGGCAAATACAAATGCTGAGAATTTAAAGGACATTTGACTCAACAGCTGTGAAGTAATCCAGAGTTTTGGATATGATAAGACAACATGGTATATAGCTCAAAGAGCATGCTCTGTGTGTCGGCAGGGCCTGAATTTGGCATAATTTATTGAGCATCTACTGGGTATCATGTGCTGGGGATACAATGTTAGAAACACAGATCCTTACACAACCTGCGGGAGAGGCAATTAAGCAGCATAAAGGCAATTACGGTGTAGGGATAAGGGTTACCAACAGAGGGCGCACTGAATACTCTAGAAGCATATGGGGTGGCTCCTAATCCAGCCTAGAGGACAGAGAAAACCTTCCTTGAAGAACTTTTCCAGACACAGGGCACAGGACTGTGTGATTAGAATATAGAGGAGTGAGTGTAAGGTAGGAAAAGGGACAGAAACCAATTAAAGGGCTTGAGTTAAACCTTTACAAGCCATATTAACAGGCCTGAGTAAATCCAAGAACACTGTTTTAATGCAAGGGAAGCAGTGAAAGGACTTTATGCAGGAAATTGGAAGAGGTGATGGTGCCATGACCTACTATTACATTTTAGAAAGATAACTGGCTGCCACACTGTAGGTTGGATTGGAAAATGGAAAGATTAGAAGTAAATTCAGGTAACAGTTGTTAAAAGAAACCCATGCAGGTGGCAACATAAGACAGTGGTGACCTATACTCAGGTAGTGGCAATGGAAATAAAAGTTGGGATGGGTTTGAGGTGGAATATTATATGAGGTGGGCAAAGGGTGCTAAAATGTGGCCAGGAGGAGGGGAACAATCAGGAGTATGATGTCATGGAAGCCAAAGTGAGAGTATTCCAAGAAAAGAGTATTAATTAAATACCATTTCTAGGTCAAGGAAAATAAAGTGTTTACAAGATTTATAATGAAGTAAAATCTCAGTGGCATGGGAGGTGAGTGGGGGAGTACTGGCACCTAAGTAGAGTACTCCAGGACAAACACAGATCAGCCAGAAAGAGGCAGAAAAGGGCAATCTAGGGCGACAGCACTACATGGCGATTGCTCTTTGGAGGTACTAAAAGTAACCGTGAAACTTGGACAGTTATTTTACCCATTTCCTCATTTATAATATGGGGACAGATAGTACTGATATTATTTATTTTACGAGGTTGTTGCTGAGATTGAATTTATGGAGAATACCTAGTGCACATGAAGGACTCAGTTAATGATGGTTCACTCCCCTTATTAAAACATCACAAAGAAACAACACTTAAAGATTTTTTTAAAAAACAGATTTAATTTCTTTCTAGAAATAGTGTACTGATTTTACAGATGTCCGCATTTGGTTTTCTGTTCACCAAGATGATGTCGGTACAGCTGGTGAGATTCAGCACACCACCTCCTGTCCTCCTGCCTCTGGAAGACAAGCCAGACTGCAGAGGGCACCCACACAGAAGCTAACAACTCCAAAGGACAAGACAAAGCAAAAAACGATTTAGTGTGACCCAGTGTTCCAACATGCCCGATTGTTATATCAAACACGGTAATTTGGGGCCCTATGGGAGACAGACAGGGGAAACCATTTGCATACAGTATGATGGAGTTTACAAACCAGTACTTTACCCTCCAATGAACAAGTTTCTGTAGAACAAAATGCTATTTTAAAAGCACATGATCTGTACAGTTGTTTTACCTTGTATTTTTTGTAAAAAAGTATCAAAACCTTGTCTTTAAATATATATATATTTATACAGGTGGGTTTTTTTAAAATTACTTTTTATAGCACAAAGTGTTTGCAAATACAGAGGGTTTCTGGTGACTCTTGACTCTGCACATGGTGCACAGCCTGAGCGAAATTTCCTGATGCTTTGTTAACCGAAAGTTTGAAGCTGTTTCCTCTACCTTCTAAAATCTTCATTATCCTGAAAATTCTGAGTACCCTAAAAATATAATGAGACAATTCTTGATTCTCTATTTTCATGCATTTATGGGAAAGGAAATTCTTTATTCTAAAACTTTAAACTGCTAACTCACTTATATTCTGTGAAATGATGAGTGCACGGCTGGAGTGGGGGGTGCCTCACATTCCTGGGGGATCCAGGTGCCCCTCTCCCCATCCCTCTCGTTCCTGACTGTACAGTGATTGGGATCCGCTCTCCAGGCCATGTCTTTCCAATTTCCAGTTTCCTTTCTCGCAGTTCAGAAAATCTAAGAGGGTCCGGACAACATGGCATGCTTCTGTGAAACTCTCACTGCCTTTTTAGTAGTTTTCACCAAATGTAGATCAGAAATCTGACTCATATATATGAAAAACAATCAACACCTCCCTGTGGCCACTGGAAAGCTTGAGGCTGAATAGTGTTATGTCTACAGAGTGCTGGCAACACATCCTAAGATCCACTCAGTGTGCTGTACAAAATAAATGACCAAGAGATGTTTGCTTAATTAAATCAAAAATAAGTCTTTTATAAAGTGCTTATGTTGAACCTGTCTTTCCATTCAGCCACATTTCTTAGTTAATCCACTTGAGTCTTTCATCCCACTTATAATGAACTACATTCAGTTCGTTAAAGTTCTCACTCTGGTTCATGCCTCAGAGCTCAGTGTTTCCTCTGCCAGAAGCAGCCCAGATACCCTGTAATGGTTGATACATTCTGTCAACGTGAGAACTGAAGTTTAGAAGTTTAACTAAGTGACTCAGCAGGGGGCCAAGGTCCTCACTCTGTAAACATCCTGAGCTTGTGCAGGTGGAGGGCAAGGAGATGTGGAGCAGGGATAGCCAGCCTACAGTATAAGGGAGGAAGAGAGGCTTGCTTTCCCCCTTTGCTCTTGTGGTGTTTGCTGTCTTCTGCTGCCTTGAACTGTTGTCCCTCACCACGCCACCTTGCCTTGGAGCCAGCTGATTATGGACTGAAACCTCCACAAACTGTGAGCTAAATAAACCTTTCTCTCTTTAACTTTGGGTGTCAGGTATTTTGTCTAAGCAACGAGAGAAAAATAACTTTAACATACCCCCTTCTTAACTTTTAGGATTTAGCTTAAGGTTATTTCTCCTATAATTACCGCATTCTTCCTCTCCAAAGGTAGAATGACCTCTTTTCCCTCTTAGTACTCTACATGAAAACTGTTCCTCTTTTGTATTCACAGACGTCCTCTACCATTACTGAGAGATCTGTAAGGACAGCAAACATTTAACTGACCTTGACATCTGTAGTGCCTGGTATACTGCTGGCACCTAATAAATGGTTTTAGGGAATGAATGTAAAGCACTGCAATCACATAGGGATAACTGAAGGTATAGCTAGTATTTATTGCCATAAACTTAAATCCTCTTATTTCCTTTTTGCCAGCCAAGGTTACAGTTACTTCAATCTGTTTTATATATAATCATGCTATCAAGAGTAAAGTTTTAGTTTTCCCTATTTATGGAAAGCCTTTTCTACCAGTGGCCAAATCCAGCAGAAAGACAGGATAGGAAGCAGGTTTGAAACAATGTTCAGGGAGCCCAAAGTTGTCTCCTGGAGAAGGAAAGGGAGGAAAAGGAGGAGGCTAACTTCTTTTTTTATATAAAGGGAATATTGTCTACTGCCCTGCTGGCATTTTCTCTTAGCTTTCTTCCAGCTCTATGGTGCAATGACTTTATGATTTATAGCCAAAAACATTTGGCTATAAATATACATGCATGGGGGAGGGAAATGAAAGTATACCTCAAACAAGGCTCAGAAAGCCTCCAAGTATAGGAGGAAGGTGGATCTGACTCCTTTGATTTTATCTAGTTTACTGCCATGTAACATGTATTTATTTGTCTATTTGTTTCTTGTAGGTTCCTCCCATAGCTTCCTCTTTCACACTGCAGTTGTAGCATATTCAGGAAATAGGAATGTCTCTGAAAGAATTGTAAATTTCATCATTTTGAGGTCTCAGGCTGTAAGTCCTGACCTCAATCATCATCTTTTTTTTTCTCTGAAGGACAGGATCTGACTAAAAACTTTAAAACTATGCATTAGCCACGTTATCATGTAATTTCCTGTGGAAATTCAGTTTCTTTGGAAGTTTATAACATAAAAAGTCGCTTGTTTTATGTAAATTTCATCACTTTTCTTGTAAAAAATAATTTTACTTTCCACTCTTAGTGAGTAAGCTCCATAGGAGTTGGCCACCTGGTCTTAACATTTTGTTTAGTATGAGTCTAGGTCAACTGTATTTACCCTCTCAATGAATGTCTCAGGACCATCACCACATGTCTATCATGAAGCAGTTGTAAGATATAACTCCTTAGAAGCTCTGGAACATGGTTGTTTTCCTAGAGGTTAAGGAGACCACGAGTGATGTAGAGCAGGTCCTAGGAACAGGATGATAGAACTCCAGATTGTCTGCCCAGAAACTGAAAATGCTGGTGAGACATCCAAGCTTCAGAGTTAGGGGTGTTAGAGGGTAGGAGTAGGGAGACATTGCTTAAGTGTGTCAAGTTCCAGGTATATTAAGGTCAGATACAGGTTGTCTGCTCCTACTTGAAGCCAAACGTTTCCATGTTGTACGGGTACCTGGTTGTCTAGTGAGAAGGAGTGGCAGAACAGCAGAGTTAAAGAAAGACCACGCTTTGTATAAAGAAGCCTGTGTGGACTGAATTCCTTCTGGGACTGTGGGGTATGTATCCAGTGGGAGAGCCCACAGACAGAAAATACACTTTTCCTTACCTCACCCCAGGCCAAGGAAAAAAGCAAAGAAGGTATCAGTCATGAAAAACAAAATCTGTACATATACCCAGAGTTTTTCCTTTTATTTACAAAGCAAAAAACCAAATCCCTGTGTGAATATATGCTATAATATTGCATATGCTGTTTCCCCTCAAATAGGATTTCAGGTTTGGTCACTTTTTCTGACTTAAGCCAAAATTTACTTTTTCTATGAACATATGAAAAAATAGGTAAGGAACCTATTTTTTTTTTTTTAACTTTAAAAGCCTTTCCCCAGCTAAAAGAAATGGTAGAGAGGGAGGGGAAGAGAGAAATGGAGATGTAATAAAACCTACTCCACCATCTTATCCTCATCTATAGCATGTCTCAGAGATTCAATGCCTCAGCCAGTCCGCACAACAAACTTGGGCTATTCTACCTATGTCTCCACTGAGCTCTCTAAGGATGGCATCCTTCAGGGTACTTCAGAGGAAGCTTACTTTATTCAGTCCCAGTGCCCTGACAGAAAGTAAAGAAGTCACTCAAAGAGCTGAACGTTAAAACAAGGACTTGCTTTGTTCTGACAAGCACATGTGTTCTGTCTTTTGAGCCTATTAGAACTTCCGGCGCTGTATAACACTGCATCTGTATGTTGACCTTAGCCACAGACAGGAAAGCCCAGGTGGAAGTCACAGCAGCCACAGGTGAAAAGATCTGCCTCTTCTATCACATGTTTTCGCAAACCATGGTATCAGTTTTTGGAGTCACTTTCAAAGGTTTCTCCAAAAATTGCAGATATCCTTCTTGTGGACAGTTTTAAAATAAATTTATGTATTTGAACAACAGCCATAGATGTGCCTCTTCTCTACAGATTTTTCTCTCTCACACACATACACACATAAACACACACACAGTCTGTGGGATGGGCCAAGCATACCAAAAATAAATACTTTCACTTCTCTAAATTATTTATAGAACTAATCTTATTTTTGAAATATGTTAATAAATAATCTAAATGGGGGAGGGAGTTGAAGTGTTTTTTTTTTTTTTTTAACTTATGTTGATGGATAGCCACAAAGCATAATCATTTTATTTACAGAAACAAAACCCCCAAACCTAAAAAAAAGTCCCCCCAAATCAAACATCCTCTGTAAATATAGTATTTAAAGGATGAGTACGGTACTGTACCATTGGCCCCCGTTTGGTTATGTACATTGTGTTAGTCACTCAGCAGTAGCCGTTCCATGAATTCCTCATGGGTAGTGCAACCGTTAAAAAGTGTATAAAACATTATACATATAAAAACTCTCACATCCTTTGGATGTTTGCAGTTCGTCATAACTTTGTGGTTACCTTTCCGCAACATAAATTTTTAAAAAGTTACACACACATACATACTCACTCACACAGACCCATATTCAGAAACCCATCCATCCAGCCATTCATCATCCAGAGAGAGTAGTGCATGGGACTGAACTCCAGGAGGCACGAAGGGGGTGGTCCCATCTTCAGGGCAGGCCATCATCTTCAAGGCTTAATGCCACTCGCTGGGGAGATAGACCAAAGAAATCATCATTAGATCCGTAAGAGCTACTCTTCATTATTAAAGTACTAGACATGCTATTATTTTACAGGTAGTGGCTCACATAATCTTCAAACTATGTCAAGAGACAAGATTTATCTTGTATTTATTTTTACTTATTTTACAGATGAGAAAACATGTTCATTGAGTAGTCTTTCCCCTGGATGATCCCAGAGCTATATAGCTTCTTTCATCATTCTATCCTATTTCTGTCAGAGAGGGCAGGAAAGATCACAACTTTTCTCCCTTACAGGATTTTAGGTGGGGTCAGCTTTAGTGGGTTAGCTCTGTTAAATGTTAACTGCCAAGCTAGGCACAATGTATCCCCAGGATGCTACCCATAATTAGGTAGTAACACACTGTAGCCCTTCAAACAGAAGTAGGAGGTAGTACAAATTAATTAAATTCAAGTCCCCTCTCCCTCATCCCTATTTTCCAGTCACCGAGTGCTAGACTCCCTTCTGCTACAAATGGCTGACCCGTAGATGGTGAGTTCACTAACCCCTGCGTCCGTGTATTCCCTGGGGACAGTAGATTTAAATTCTTTCCTATCCTAACGTGAAAGCTGTTTCTTTAGATCTTCTGATATTCCCTGATTCTATGTTTTAGACTCAGAGTTCCACACAGGATAACCCTTGACTTCTACAGTGTTTGAATCCCCTCCCTTTTATTCTGTCTTTTTGTTTTTTTCTCCTCTAGGATATACCTGTCATTTTCCCCAGCAGGTCCTGACATAATCTTGCTTGCTGCTCTTCCATTTCCTGGACACCCTCCTTTGGACAGACCCAAGTTTCATTATCTTTCTCACAGTATGTGAATTGGGTGAGCCAATTTCTCTGGGCCTTAATTTCATCAAATGGGAATGACAGGACCTATCTCCTACGTTTGATGGGGGCCAAATGAAACAATGCATATAGAGTATTTAACATAATACCTAACACACATGGGGTTTGAAATATTCTATATCAACCTAAGCAGCGAAGCATAAGCCCCTTCCTACATAAGATTAAAAGAAACTCCACTCCCTTCAAGTCCTCTGTGGGTTACTTGTGGTTTTCCATGTATGTCATGGCTGTGCTCCATTAACGAAGACCTTTAAGACCATCTTTTAGTGCAGTCACCCAGTCTCTACAAGACAAAACTCTAGGCCAAAGACAGGCCTCGGTAGTGATGGCAGAGCTACCTGAGAAAGGAACAGGAGACACATGGGTGAGAATACTGAATTCCAGAGCTTTCCAAGGCTATTTACCCCACAATAGTGGGAGGAGCATGGGCCTCTGAGTGGAGTTTGAATCCTGGCTGTGCCACTTCCTGGCTATGATCTTCAGTGAGTTATTCAATTTCTATGAGTCTCAGTTTTCTCATCTGCAAAATGGGGCTGATCATATGACCTCTGACTGTGAAGATTAAATGAGAAAGTATATGTGAAACACTGAGAACAGCTCTGACACATAGTAGGTGCACCCAAAATATTAATTTTCTCACTGTTATCTCTATTTTTATGCCACTGGCAGGAGCTTATTACTTGGGCCTTAGACTCATCATGGGTAACTTCTGAGTCATTTCCTCCTCTGAAACAAGGCCACTTTACAAGTATAAATTGCTTTGTAATTTACAAACTGCTCTCACACGTGCTACCTCACTTGAACTTCCCAAACTCAGCAGGCAGATGGAATAGGAGTATTCTTCTCATTTTACAAAAAACAATTAGAAAGACGTAAGTGACTAAGGTCCCATGCTACAGAACGACAGGACTGTGAGTCACCTTTTTACTCCAAGCTCAATGCTTCTTGCACTGTGCTTTTCCTGATCTTCAAACATCTGTTAAGCAGCTGTTCACTGGGGCTGGCTGAGGTCAAAGATCCTCAACACCACCTGCTAATCCTCCTCACTTGCTCAACTTTGTCTTCAATAGCTCCCCTTTATCAACAGTTTGCTTCAGCAGGAACTCTGTCTGCCCCACACTCAGTCACCTTCTTCCACATGCCCATTTCCTTCATCTGTGGCAATCCCATGTTTCCTCCTTGCCCCGACACTCAGTTTACAGTTTACAGCCTTCCAGAACCAGAAAGCCTTCTAGGATTGGCTGCACCTGCCTAGGTTCAGGCCCTCACTCACCAGCCCCTCAAGGTCAGAGTGGCACTGCCCTACCTTGCACTTGACGACAGGCAGCTCGGAAAGAGGGTTCTTCGGGAGTTGGTGCAGCTGTGACCTTGGTTCTCCCGGCAAGACAAAAAGCTCCTTGAGGGCAGGGGCTGGGTCTTCCAGTGCTCTGGTCTCCCCAAGACAAGGCTCTGCCCACAGTGGGCGATCAAAGCTTCTGATTGCCTGACAGGGGGATGGACCGGATGACCTCTGAGGTCACACTCAGCCCCCTGACTCTGCTATACAACAATGACACCTGCTCAAGTCACTTCATTGTCCTTGTTCCCCCAACAAGCCATGCTCTTTTACTTGTAGGCCTTTGCACATGCTTCTGTCTGCAGTGCCACTTCCCTCCTTCTCTGTCTGGAAAACTGCCATTGATCTTTCACAGACAGTTCATCATTATTTCATTGTGAGGCACTCCTTGTCTCTTTCTCCCGATACTTAATAACTCCCTTGATGTTTCCACATCATCTGTTCAACAAATATTGTTGAAAGTCAGCTAAGCTGTACTGGGTGCCAGGAAGACAGACTAATCGACAAGATCCTGCTCTCAGGGATCTCATGTTCTAGTGGGGAGACCACAAGATAAAACAATTGGACTGGAGTGTGACAGTGCTGGGACGGTGAGAGCCCAGGGGACTGTGGGAGGACAAAGCAAGCTGGGGAAAACTTCGTGGAAGGGACAACTGAGCTTCCATCACAGCACTGAGCACACAGTGGTAAAATTATACCTGAGTATCTCTAACTCCCCCACCAGCAAATTGGGAACAAGTAATTCTTTACTTACATTGGCACATTTCATGTCTAACATAGTGCTTGGCATATAAGTGGCATGCAGTGTTTGTTGAGATGACTGCATTCAAATTAAATGGTCAGTTACCCTTTCAGGACAAAGGTTCTGAAAAGTACTCAGCAGAAAGAAAGGCATTTGGCTTCTTTACTGCCAGGAGGAGCCTAGGACCCTGCTACCCCAACCACCTACCTCAGCATGTCTTTGTTCCCCAGGATCTAGAGCAGTGGTGGGAACCTACAGCATCTGTGCTACAGTGGGCTGCTGGTACCATTGAAAGCTGTAAAAGGTTCACCATCACTGGTCTAGACAGTGCCTGGTACGTGGTAGGTTCTTAAAAAATGGTGAAGGAATGAGAAAGGGAGGGACGGAGGGAGGAGGGAAAGGAAGACGTTCTCCCAGCAAAGGATACTTACTGCCGGGTAGACATGGCCAATCTGAGCAGTCCTCCCTATATGGAGCTCATCTTCATCTTCTTCTTCTGTTGTTTTCCTATAGACTGGGTTGTCAAAATTCATGCTCTTTGTGTTCTTCCGCTTCCAGTTTCTCCAGATCAGGTAGCCGCTCAAGCACAGCAGGGCTATTACCGCTGGAGGAAGGGACATATTACTCTGGACATCCAGGAATCTCCAGCCCAGTGCCCAGACATCAAAGCAGATACTGCCATGTCTGCAATATTACCAGCCCTTTCTCCTCAGACAGTGTTTCTCCGAGCTCCTTTGCTGCTTGGAAGATTTTCTCTCTTCCAGTGACCTCTCCTCCTTTGAGATCCAGCTCAAAGGGAAGTCTGCCCCAGCTCCACCACGCAGTCTGCTTCTTCATGTGCACATCTAGGCCACAATATTTTACCTTACCTATCTTTACTCCAACTAGACTGAGCCATTTGAAGACAGGAACTGTCTCATTTATCTCTCTGTGCCCAGTGCCTAGCACTGGCGAGCTGCTCAGAGACAAGTGCTAAATGAATGAGTGAATTTTTTTTTTTTTTTTACTTTAAAGAGAAAAAAATGAAACAAAATTTCAAAACAAGATAATAGGAGGGTAAAAATGGTTAATACACTGCATATTAATATCTTAAATTAGTTACTCAGAGTACAAGATATTGGCATTTAACTGTCCAATATTAGCACAAACTTTTCAATGAACTAAGAGAAATTAATACCATAACTGTCTATCAGATAGATAGATAGATAGATAGATAAATAGATAGATAGGTATCTGGGTTTTTTTGTTTTTTTGTTTTTTTTTTTGCTTTTCCCTTCCTTCTTTTACCCATTCACCAATCCCAGTTTCTCTTTCCTTTTTTCTTCCTATTTTACAATATATATTGTTTTTTTTTTTGGTTTTTTTTTTTTTGGTTTTTCTCCGGTACCGGGAACCGAACTCACGACCTTACGCTTGCCAGGCAGGCGCTTTGCCGCTGAGCTAAATCCCCAGCCCCTACAATATATATTGTTAATTTTGGATCTTATTTACTCTTTCAGCTTCTCATACTAGGAAGAGAATACAATGTTTACACATGTGCACATGGTGAGTATGGTCTCAAATAGCATCTATTTACCTATAAAAGTCTCCAGTTTATCCTTCTTTATGGCTGAGTAGTACTCCATTGTATAAAAAGACCACATCTTTTTTATCTGTTCCTCAGCTGATGGGTGTTGGGGTATTTCCAAGATTTAGCTATTACAAATTGTGCTGCTATAAACATGGGTGCACATACATCAATGTGGTACAATGTTTTAAATTCTTCTGTAAAGATACCCAGAAGGGGAATCCCTGGATGGATTAGAACCTCCAATCCTAGTTTTTTGAGGAATCTCCACACTGATTTCCACAGTGGTTGCACCACTCTACACTCCAACCAACAGTGGAAAAGGGTTCCTTTTTCCCCATGACCCCTTCAGCATTTGTTATGGGATGATTTCTTGATAATAGCCATTCTTTCTGGGGTGAGATGGAATCTCAGTGTTCTTTTAATTTACATTTCTTAAATGACCACTGATGTTGAACGTTTTTTCATGTATTTATTTGCTATTTGTATTTCTTCATCTGAGAAGTGTGTGTTCATCTCAGATGTCCATTTTTGGATTGGGTCTTTGAATTTGGGGGTACTGATATTTTTAATTCTTATCCTGCTCTTCTTTTTCTAGAAGTTTGAGGTTCACCATTAAGTTGTTTATTTGTGCTTGCTGTTTTCCTGATATGGGTATTCACTGCTATAGATGTACCTCTTAGGACTTTCATTGTGTCCCATAAGTTCTAGCATGTTGTATTGTCATTATCATTTAACTGTAGGAACTGTCTAATTTCATCTTAAACTTCATCGTTGAGTCATTGGTTGTTCAGAAGGGTGATATTTAATTTCCACGTGTTTATGAAGTTCTTGTGGTTTCTTTTGCCATTAATTTCCAATTTCATTGCACTATGGTCTGATAATATGCATGGGATAATTTCAATTCCTTTGCATTTACTTAAATATGTTCTATGAGTTAGTATGTGGTCTGTTTTGGAGACTATTCTGTATGCACCTGAGAAGAATGTGTATTTTGATTTTGTCGGGTAGAACACTCTGTAGATAGCTACTAAGTCCATTTGTTCAAAAGTTTGGTTCAGTTGTAATATTTCACTGTTGATATTTTTGTCTTGCTCATGTCTATTTGTGACAGTGGGGTATTGAGTTCCCCCAATACAACTGTATTAGTGCTTATTTGATTTTTCATGCCTGTTAATACTTGTTTTATATAGTTGGGTGCACTGGTATTTGTTGCACATATATTTATGATATCTCCTCCTCTTGGATTGCTCCTTTTACAAGGATGTAGTGACCTTCTTTGTGCCTCTTAATCAGTCTTGGCCTAAAATTCACTTTGTTTGCAAATAAAATAGCTACCTCTGTTTTTTTTTTTCTGGGTTCCTGTCACATGGAATATTGTTTTCCATCCTTTGATTTTTAGTCTATAATTTTTTTTTAATTAAATGTGTTTCTCATAGGCAGAATATTGTTGGATTTTGCTTCTTGAACCATTCTGCCAGTCTGTGTCTTTTGATATGTTTTGATGGTTATCAGCGATATGTATTGACTTATCCTTGTTATGTTACTTTTCTGTTTATGACTCACCTTCCTTTTTTTCCCCTTCTTCTGTTTAACTGTTTGCTTTGCCTGGTAGATTCCTTCCCTTGGGGTTCATGGAGTTATAGTCCTTGTTATCTCTTTCTCTAGAACATCCTTCAAAACATTTTAGAGTGCTGCTTTGGTGGTCATGAATTTCCTTATATGTTCTTTGTCATGGAAGTATCTTATATCTCCATCTGTTTTGAATGAGAGTTTTGTGGGGTACGTCAATCTGGATTGAAGTTCGTTTTCCTTTCAAACTTGAAATACTTCACTCCAAGCTCTCCTTGGCTTGAGTGTTTGTGTTGAGAAGTCAGCTGTAATTCTGATGTGCTTTCCCTTATAGGTGATTTATTTATTTTCTCTAATGGCTTTTAAGATTTTATTCTTTTGTTGAATTTCTGGAATCTTGACTATGACATGCTTGGCTGTAGATTTCTGTATGCCTCACTTATCTGTATGTCAAATTCTTTTTTCCTGCCAAGGAAGTTTTGTGCCATGACATCTGTGAACAGTTTTTCTTTTTTATATCATTTGTGCTATCTCCTGCTTTTTCACTGACTCCAATTAATCTTAAGTTATTCATCTTTGCCTCATGTAGCAGCTGCTGTATTGATTTCTCATAGTCCCTTGCTATTTTAAAGAAATCTTTCTTTTCATGATTGCTGACCACAAGCTTGTCTTCTATATCTGAGATTGTGTCCTCACACTGGCTTAATCTGCTGTGGATACTTCTAATGGAAGTTTTACTCTCCTGGATATCTGCTTGAATTTGCCTTATGGATTCCATTTGTTTCCTATGCTGAGCATTCATGGCTTCCATCATTTTCTTAAGCTCCTCTACTTTTTTGTCTGTATCTACTCTAGAGTCACTAAGCATGGTTTTCATTATGGACACCAGTGCTGCAGTTATCTGAGAAATTATTTCTGATTTGATTTTTTTCTAGAGCCTAATTCAATTGCTTTGTTGTTAGCACTTCAGAGAGGCCAGGTGGGTGGCTTTCAGATTGCCCCATCTCATTGCCCCTGGGTTTGCCTTAGGTGAACTGAGTGTCTAGGGTTGCATCTTGTTTAAGTGTCTTATCATTTTCTTTTCTTTTTTTAGTTAAATTCCTGGGGTGATGCTTGTAACTTGCCTATGGTCAGTTGCTTCATTGCTAGTATTTAGAAGCATTAGGAAATGGCTATTTCTTCGAGGCATTTTCGAGGTATAGCTAGTGTTTTGAGTTTTGAGTCTGTAGCAAGATCCTACCTCTTCAATTTGTTGGGGATGAGAAGTTGCTCCCTATTTGGCCCACACCCTGGCTCTTTGGCACTGTGCCACAGTATTTTCTGTGACCCTTAGTCAATCTCAGTTTTGGAATACCAGAAAGAATAGCTGTGTAGAATATTATGTCACTTTTGGCTATAGTGGTACCATCCGCAATAACAACAGTATCAAACATAGCCTACAAAATGACAAACTGAGCTAACCATTAATTTGCAACCTTAAACTGTATGAATTAGACTTGTAGTTATATAACAAAATGGAAAACAAACCAGAAAATTATATGCAGTACAAAAATCCTTAATATGTCAATTTGCCCTCAGGCATTAAAATTTAAAATAGGTTAGGGAGAAAATAGAGAAGTGGAAGAAGAAGAGATTAGAAATAAGGCCAGAAGACAGAGGGATCACACTAACTTTGGGAAACTAGTGCAGAAGACTGGAGGGAAAGAGCGAAGGAAGCGATAAAAAGAAGAACAGAACAGAACCACAAGGAGGCCAGAAACTATGTTCATACTCATATAAAAATAAGATCAAACAATGAAGGAAAAAAATGAAAACAGAAAACAAAGACAAAAATAAAACTACCACCACCACAACAAAAACGAGAGAGAGAAAAAAAGAAAAAAGTCCACTTCTAGGTATGCCTCTGCTGTCACTAGTAGATAACATGTGGAGACAGAATCTAGATCCATGTTGATTTATCCCAGCAAGCCAGCAGTAGCTTTTTGGTGGGGTAGTGGATAATCCCAGTGAGCCTGCACCTTCTAGCCAAGACCAGACTCATTCAGCCTGCAGCTGTCAGTGCATCTTCCCCAGGCCTGAGCCCAGTTGGGAGCCTCTAGATAGAGCTGGTAGGTTCTCTTGAGTTCTGAGCTCAGCTGGCTACCTCTCCAAGATGCCTCCTGGCCAACTGCTCTCTCTGAAGGAATGAATTTATATCCTTTGTCCCAATGCTGTGGCTTCCCTGAATTGCTAAGAAAACCATTCCCTCATCAAATGGGAGGATGGAAGGGGGAAGTGGGTGGAATATTTCTTTCCAAAGCTGGAGCTCCACCAGAAGAGCATTTCTAAAAGGGAACACAGAAGGGTAACACAGGCTCTGGGTTAGAATAAAGGAATACCCTAATGAGTAAAGGGCAGCGCTCTACGGCAGAGCTGGGCAAAAATGTGGCAGGCAGCTTTACAGGTAGTAAGCAATCACTTGGAGCCTCTCAGTGAAGGCTGGATGATCACCTACCTAGGATGCTTGAGAGGGTGGCTACTTGAGTAAGACTGCAATAATTGATACCCATTAAAGATAGGAATGAGAGAAGAATGCTCAGTATTGCTCCTGTTTATTGTCCCAGCAATCTAATTGTGCAATACGAACAGATAAAAAATTGACTGGAGCATATAAATATAGGAAAGGGAAAAAGCCCAATGACTATTAACAGATGTTTATACACATGGAATACATATTACTAACAGATGTTTGTATGAAGCAGGTGAATAACTATTGGAAATAATGTTAGTTCACCAAGAATCAACATAAATGAACATTAAAAGATCAGTAGCTTTCATTTCAATCAGCACTAACCAATAAGAAAATGTAATGGAACAAGAATACCTTTATAACAGCCCAACAAAAAGTATAAAGTACCTGGGATAGCCTAACATGAAATATGTAAGTATTATGTGTTCTATAAAATTCTGCTACTAAAAAAATAAGAAAAAATTTTAAATTCTACTAAAGGACATAAAAGAAATAAATAGATATCATGTTTCTGGGTGGGAAACTTGAACATTCCAAAAAATGTAAATTCGGGCTGGGGATTTAGCTCAGCGGCAAAAGCGCCTGCCTGGCAAGCGCAAGGTCATGAGTTCGGTTCCCGGTACCGGAGAAAAACCAAGAAAAAAAAATAAATAAATAAAAAATAAAAAAAATAAAAAATGTAAATTCTCCCCACATAAATCTACACATCCAAAGCAATCTCAATAAAAATTCCAAAATAGTTTTTAAAAAATTGATGATTAAAGTTCATCTAGAAGAGAAACCAAATAAAAATATGAGAAACTGTTGTGAGTATAACGTGTCACATACTGTTATTTGTACATAAAAATTGATAATTTGTGGAGTAGAGTCTAGTATGTATAGGAACATAGTTTATAAAGATGACAAGTCAAGTCAGAAAGAAAAGTAGACCATTCACAATGGTTTGGGAGGCTGGGGACACATCTCAGTGATAGAATACTTGCCTAACATATGTGAGGTCCTGCATTTAACCCCCATTACAAAGAAAAAAGCTTTAGAAAAACAAGATATGTATGTAGAAAATATCAGGAGAGATTTTAACAATTGAGAGTGAGGGGTAGGCATTACTAAGCAAGACACAAAACCCAGAATGCCTACAAAAGAAGACTAACATCTAATACATGAAAGTTTTAAATTTATGCATAGCAAGATACTGAAAAGAAATTTTAAAACCTATTGTTAGGCTGGAAGAAACTACTTATCATATATAGTATAAAAGTTTTAACATGTCTTATGTATAAATATTTCTACAAATAAGCCAATAAAAAATAAGACTGTGAATAGGCAATTCACAAAGGATAAGATGAGATAAGGTGTAGCTCAGTGTTACAGCACTTGCTAGCATGCATGAGGCCCTGGGTTTCACACCTAGCATCAATAAAAAAGTAAATAAAAAAATAAAGGATGAAATCTAAACCAATGGCTGATAAGGTTATGAAAAGTTACTCAGCCTCTCAGGGAAATAACACACATGTTCACCCCTTAGATTAGCAGAGTATATTGGGCTGGGCTGTATCTGTGAAACAGCATGTATGACTCTTTCAGAACACAATATGGTGGAATGGGGTTGTCTTTCACTCCACTTAAAATAAGAGTGGAATAACGGTCATCTCACCATATGTTTCTCCTGGAGGCTTTCAAGGCCAATTCAAATGCTATTCTCTCCAGAAGCACTCTTTCACTCTGGAGTCACCTCCACAGGACTATCATGCCACTATGTATCATGCCTCTATTATAGCACATTATAACATATATTAACATCTACATTGTATGACTGATAGTTAACCCTGAGTTAAAACCTTAAAGTCTTTTTACTCCTTGTACAGTGTCTTGAGCAGGGGAGAAGTTTCTAACACATTTACCAACTCACCACTACAATGAGGATTCCCAGGGTACCAAGTCTCTGACCTTGAAGTATTCATAGGCAAGTAAAGGACATAAACTCATCAATTCAAAAACATTGCCAAGAGATGAGACTGGTGTGAGAGGATGTGTGTGAGACTATGTGAACGTCGGGGTAGGAGAATGAATCAGCCCTGTGGTTCTATGTGTGCTTAACCAACGTTATGTTCTGATCCCTGCCATGTCCCTCTCCTGGCTTTGCTGACGCTGCCTTCACTGTTTGGATTGCTCTTGCTCTTTCTTCACTGGGCTCACCCAGCTCAAGGATCACTGCCACTAAAAAAACCTTCCCAGGCCTCTTCCCTTCTCTCCCAGTCTAAGCTAAGTGCTTCCTCTACACATCCTTAAGTGCACATAGCTTCATCTTAGGATTGACCATGTCATAACAAATTTATCTGTTTTATGTGTCTCTTCCGCAAGATTTAACTTTTATAGGACAGGACCAAGTCTTATTCATCTTTAGCCACGTCCTCTGCCCTTATCACAGCGTAACATATAGTAACTGCTTGATAAATGTTTGTTGAAAATCAAACAGTAAGAAAACAGGACAGTGTGACCTATTCAGGAGATGGCAAGCAGCTCTGCTCATAGTGCAACAAATACTTAATTTCCTATAATGCACCCGACATTGCTAGGAGTGAAGGGTAGGCAAGGTGTAAGCAAGTTGTGAGCCCTGTCCCCAGGGAGCGTCTACCTGGGTCTTCAGGTGGTGGGCGTGCCCAGTGTGAATAAGGGGTGGGAATAGATGCAGATGTGGGTTCTCTGGGACCAAAATCTTGAAAAACCTTGTATGTCAAGCTAAGAAACAGAATTAAATCATTCTGGGAGGGAGCAGGAAACCTGCCAGGGCAGAACAAGCCAATGAGGCTTGTGTGTGCCAAACTCTTTATCCTCTTAGCATCTTTCCCCAAGCCCTGGGCAGACTCCTTTCGCACTCACCTATGGGCACAATGATCCCAATGACAGCAGCGGTGACAGTTGAGCCCACCTTGCCACCTTCATTGCCATCTGCAAAACACAAACATTTACTCTATCACTGGGAATCCAAGTCCTGACTGGCCTCAAACAGTAAAAGCTACCCACTGCTTCTCCTCTTCCTTGCTCTACAAAGATGAGTCTGGCTAATGCTTAATAACTTGGACTTTCCAGATCCGAAGACTCCTGTGAGACAAGCACAAGGGTGGGGAAATTAAACCTTACAAATAAGCAGTCCAGCTGGGACCTAAACTCAGGACTTGTGACCCAAATCCCGTGCCCTCCCTGCAGCATCACAGTGGTAGGAAGCTGGGGCTGTGCATGGTAGGGTGAGCCCCTCATGCCGCTGACTGACTGGGTCAGTTGTGCTTTTCTCAGCCAGTATTTGTTGAATTGTCTCTGTCATTTTGGGGGGTCTGTCTGTCCATTAGCATTACTAGCTTAGTTTCCCTAAGTAATTAAATTAGGTCATAACAGTGTAGTAGATTCAAGAGCTCCAGGGGCAGTCTCCTTGGGTTCAAATCCCATTTCTACCACTCACTACCTGTATGACCTTGGGCAAATTTATATACAAAGTCTGACCCAAAATGTATACCTCAGGAAAAAAAAAACTTTATAAATATTTTAATGCTAAATTTATTGAGACATCATGAGATTAATACAAGTTACCTTTGGCCTCTACAATTACAAGAGGTGCTCAAAGTGGAGGCCATTAGCTTCCAGACATTTAGTAGTCTGGCAACCAGCTGAAGTGTGTATGTGTATGTAAAGATTAATAAGATAATTAATACAAAATACCCAGCACTGTACCTAGTACAGCATTGCATAGTCCAAAGAACACGGTGGGTGTGGGGTTGGGCTGAGGCCTAAATTTATCACGGCTGTGAAAGCACATTCTATACTGAAAAGTGCTTGGAAAATGCACTGTACTTTTTAAAGTATGCTGTGCCATCTTCCATACTCTTACAATCATCTTCATTATAACATCTATACAGGACTTTAGTTTAACAAGCTCGCTGAGGCATGCAGAGGAGTTATTACCCACATTTGCTCTGAGTGAGGTGACTGCTTGTGGGCAATGGTCTGGATTCTATCCTTTCAGTGCATCTAGTTCTCCAAGTCACCTCAAATAAATCTAACTATTGGCTAATGTGGATGTGCTGCTGTCCTCTTATTAAACCTCCTTCTTTAGGAGGCCTGGTGGGGAGGCTAGTCAGAGGTTCTGCCCCCAAGCGAAAGGGAGTGAAATTCCTAAGTGTTCCACTGCCTCTACTTCAGGGTGAGTGCTCCACTCTGAGAATCTGGATTCCCACAGCAGAACAGGCCCAACCAGAAAGATGTCACCTGGCTGCTTGGTGTCTGGGCCACTTATGTATAGAAAAAAATGTAAAAGATAACACCCTTTTAAATGAACTCCCCCTGTCAGGTTAATGAAATACAACAGTTCTAGCAGTGACAATTACAGCTTCTGGTGATTTAATAAGTAGTGAGCTTAATTATTTTTATAGTGGGGTTTAGAAACAGGCACCAGCAGGTTCTGGTTACAGGTGTTGCTATGTGAGCAGCTCACTGGGGCTGACAGGAGCTGAGAGCAGAGCTTTCGAACCCCGAGGGACGCCCCCTCCTGCACGCATCAGTGTAGGAAACAGACACACACCCCTGTAGCAGGGGCCGTGTGAGCACTTCCTCCTCGGCTTCTCTGGTTAACCTTGTGGAACAGGTTGGGGGTGGGTTCTTCTTTCACTTTTGTTGGAGAACAAACAGGCTCAGAGATATGATGTAGATTTCCTGCACAACCCCTATAAGTTAAGGCCACTCAAGACTCCTAAACCTCAGGCTGGCACACTCAGGTCCTCCGCTTCTTCCTAGAGACACACATTTTCAGCTCTTGTGTGATCTCTCTTCCCACACAGCCCCACCTGGCTCCCAGAGGACCCTCCCATTTCATAAAAGAATGCAAAGCTCATTTCCTCACAGTGCTGGGAATGGTTGCTGGTTGCAGGGCTCAGGGTAGACGGGCTGATGCTGGGAGCCCTGGGGACACTAACTGAGCTTGGGACCCCCGCTGTCAGGCTTGGTGTCTCTGTGGTGTGGTTCTGGTAGGTGGAGCTGTGGATGGTGGTTCCAGGGGCTCTTGTGGAGGCAGCTACTGTCCTTGTCGTAGTAGGAGCCAACGTCGTAGTTGAGGTAGATTGGGGTGCTAGAAAGGAAGACCATGGAGGTCACTTGGACAGGGTATTTTGTTGCTTTCATGATAAAAGATACCGCCTCTATGAATTACACATGGGAACTCAACCTAAGAGCTTAGCTCAAAGGCCTTCTGTGAAGCATTCCCTCATTCCCTGAATGGGCAGTGGTCTTTTCAGCCTAGTCCTAAGCACTTCCCTTTGATTGGATAAAGATGAGTCATTTTAGAAGCATTTCACCCTGCTATTGTTACATCACTGCTATAAATTCTTGCTGCACTTTAAACAACTGAACCAGGGAATCATAAACAATGCAGCCAACTTGTGCTCAAACAAAAGGCTTTGGCCATGTATCACAAGTGGGAAATAAACACAATTTCTGGGTTGAAGTCTTTTCTGGCTATTAGCCCAAATCAGGCAGCAAAAGGGCTTTATGTAGTGTTTCAGTTCTAGGTAAGAAACAGGCAAGTCCATAGTTATCTGTGTATAGATAGTGTCTGAAGCTGTGGAGATGAAGGGTTCTGAACTTAAAATTTTCAAAGGGTTCCAGAAGTCACCTGAAATTGAATTAAAAATGTTTTATCTATATGTGCATTTTCTCCTTGGGAGAAGAAAAAGCCCTGGAAGGCCTCAGGGGACATGAGCATTCAAAGAAGGTGAGACAAAGGGGGGGCGTGGAAAGGCAAGGAGCACCCAGAGAAGACAGAGAAAACCCAGGCGGGCGCCATATCACACGGCCAGGGCCCCCCCTTCCCCCCACCTGGAAGCCCTACTCACCTCTGTAGCACCTCTTCATGTCTGGGCCCAGCCACATGGTGTCAGGACAGGCACACGTGTACTTGGGAGAGTAGCTGGATATCTGAGGAGCAGGAAGGCACAGGTACTCACAGCCTCCATTGGGCTGGGCATTCAGCTGGCACGCATCTTCAGCTAATGGCAGAAAGGGGGGAAGTTAAGGTACAGACTGGGCATGCCAGGTCTTCCTACCTCCCAGGGATAATGCCACCCACTGCTCCTAAGCTTTCCCCGCTACATCGACTGGGCACCTTCCTGCACTGTACCTAATGTTTTGTTCCCACTCTCATTCAGTTCTTAGAATAATTCTGAGAGCTGGATATTATGTGCCATATTGACAAAGCCATGTAGCCTCAAAGAGAACAAACTTGTTGAAGCTATACCTCTAGGAATTTTGTAGACCAAATTTAAATTCAAGTATGGACTCTAAAACCCATGCGGGTTTTCTCCCCCATGTCACATGCCACTATCTCTCTTATTGAAATTTCCAGATCTGGAATCAGGCACTAATCTGACCTCCTCACCCTCCTTTGCTTTTCCACCTTCAAACTGGCAGCCAACACGTCAGCTACAGTTAGAGTAACTATTTCCTAGTGATAAAGGAGGAGACAACCTAATAGCAAGATTCCTGGTTTCTATTCCCAGCCAACAAGCTGACCTACTGTGTGGCCTTGGGAGACATCAGCTTATATTACTGCAAAATGGGTACAAATAGTGAATGAAAAGCAATGTGTCATGGTGGAAAGCACTTTGGAACTGAATGGACCTGTGTTTAGGTTTCAGTTGTGCTACCTGCTAACATGATTTTACCTCTCTGAGCTTCAGTTTCCTCAACGGTTATTAAGGATAGTATGTGTATTTTGTACTGGCAAGAATAGGAAATGTATTGATTTATTTATACCCAGCCTTATTTCACAAAGATCTGAAGCAAGGAGACAAAATATGCGATGATAACACATTCTACAACAAGAGAGATTGCTGATATGCCTGAAGCTGCTGAGTCACAGTGTGAGTATGAACACAGCCCGCCTAGGGGAGGCGGAGGATGGAGGCAAGAGGCCAGGGAGTCGGGGGCAGGGAGTGCTCACCTCTTGGCTGCTTCAGCTCATGGAAGATGACAATGTCATGTGGGTTATTGAGGTTCTCCGCTAGGATGGAGATTTCTAGGCCATTAAGCCGATTTGCACTGAAAATGGCCTCATTCTCCAGGTCTGTCCAGAACACCTTGTCCTGTGGGGGACAGATGCAGAGGATAGGGAGCCTAGAGTTTCAGCTTATGATGTCAGTCTGAAAACATGGCCCTAAACCATAGTGAGAAGAACTGCTCTAACCTTTCCCCTGAGCTATTCTGTCTAGATTCTCTATGGGACTGTCAGCCTGTGATCCATGAGGTACACTCTCCCAGTTTCTGTTGGAGAGGATCAGCTAGTAATTCCATGCTCTGGCCAGAAGGCTACTAACCTACTAATGGTAAATTGTGCCTGCTTCCAGGAGCCAGCAAAAACCCAAGGTTGGGTCTCCTTAGCTATTACAGGTGCCTGGGACCAAGACTGGAGGGGATGTGTGAGCTACCAAAAGATGCTGGGCCTGCCACAGCCCCTGGATGGACACACGAGTCCATATGGTTGAACTGATATAAGCCTACACAAGCAACTGAAGGTAAATCCATGCATCCTTATACGCAGATCCAGAACATACACAACCAAGCATTAATCTACACGCATAAAGTCACACTTGTACCTGAATAAGCTTGTCTAATAGTGGCATACATATTTACACTCACAAACTCAGCACACATAGCAATGCACACTTTCAGATGCATTTATACATACACGTGCACATACATGTACTTGACACATGCCGCAACTACACTCAAGCACATATACAGGTGTCCAAACACACCTGTCTTTTGAAGCAGGAGCTAGACTTCGAGGGGGAGTTCTGCTCACAACGTCAGAGCGGTGCTGAGTGAAGCTACTCCATGAAAATTCTGCCAGTTCCTACCAGAGAGCACTGTCCCTCCCTTCAGTGGCAGTCAGTTTTATGGAAGAGGTGGGTGTGTAAGAACTTGGTAGTTTCTGGCTTCCTCATTCCCCAAGAAAAAAGGTTGTTAGGGTCAGGGCACAAGAGGGTCTCGACTGCTCACCTTCCTGAAGCTTCCTGAAGCCTGGAATAGTGTCTGACTCGCTTCTCTGATCCTAGGGTCCAGCAAAGGTCAAAAGAAGTACACTGAACTGCAGAGCATCTCTTAAGCCACTTACTACATTAAAAACTTCTACAATTATGTGCATTACTTTTTCCTTTCCTCCCTTTATGGGGCATTTTCTGTGTATGTGGTACAGTACCGGCTGCTCAGGGTGCAGAGAGGAACCACCTATGTCTAGCAAATCACCTATGAGAAGGACTGTGAGAAAGTGCTCTTGGGAAATGAGCACAGGAAACTGCCAGGCAGACAATGGACTGCAAAGCCTTTTATGGAGGCAGCCTTCAATTTGTGTGCATCTTAGCTGCCTTCTCTGTTTCTTTGTTTCCCTTTGGACAAGTCTCCAGGCTTCAGCTGCCCAGCAGGACCACGCTTCCCCTCACCGGCTCACCTCAAACACAGCTATCCCAAAAGGGTGGCTCAGGAAATCAGCAGAGGAAATCAGCGTCTTTCTGTTGCCTCCACTGAAGTCAATGCTGCACAGCTCATGCAGCTTCGAGTCCACCCAGTACAAGCGCTGGTTCAGCAAATCTTGGGGAGGAAGAAGGCGAGGGATCAGGTCATCACCCTGGGACCCCAACCTGGATCTTTGCTTGTCTCTTCCCACATTCCCAGGCCTCATATTGAACCCAGCCTCTGGCAACAACCATCAAGGATCAAAGGCACTAGCACTATGACGGGACCCAGAAAAAGACCCTTGAGGCTCCAAGATCAGATGCGAGAGTAGGCTCCCGACCCAGGGAGGCAGGGCTCACCCAGGGCGATTCCGTTGGGCCATTCAATATTGTCTGACACCAGTGTTTGCCGGTCCATACCGTTGAGCCCAGACTTCTCGATCTTGGCCTGGAACCCCCAGTCAGACCAATACATGAACCTGAAAGAAGAACCCAATTTGGCTTCTTGGTGAGGACATGGTTGGGGTGGTCTGAGTTACAAAGGCTCAGCGACCCACAGAATAGTTAAGGATTATGCTTAGTGAGCACTGGAAAGCCCTCTGAAATCCCTTGGAAGGATCACTGTCTTTAGCTCATTTGAGAACCTGAAGAAAGCTAGATTCCTATGAGATCACTGAGCCTTGGCTATGTAGCCTGTGAGCCCACTGGGGCAGCTCTAAGCAGAGCCCTAGCGTGTGGCCAGGCCCAACCAGCTGTGCTCACCTCAAGAGAGTTTCTTCTGTTTAACAACTAAGCAAACAGTAGAAGGAAGAAGCCGGTGAAGCATGGTACAACTGCTGAAAAACTGATGCATCTCAAGATCTCTCTCCTGAGGAAGGGAGAGGGTCCTGTTCTGTTCGCAGCTCCTGGCCCCCAAAACTGAGCTGTGGCCAGAGCAAGGCAGTGAGGAGGTGAGGGTGCGATGGAGCCAGGTAGCTGGGGCAGAACAGATCCAGTGGCCTGGGTCTGCCAATCTTGCTGGCTGTCCTGCAGCCATGTCTCAGGTAACTCTTAACCAGTGAAGGAAGTTACAGAAAGACAGACTGGGGGCTGTGAGGGGGGAAAAGCCACTTTCTAGTAAGCAGAGACTGCGTAATGCAATAGGCCCTATGGGAAGAAAAGGGCTCCCTGCCCCTGGAGTGTGAGCAGCTGCCAGACGCCTATCTGCAGCAACCTGAGGAAAGGCCTTTCTCCTGGGAGGGACAATTCTACCAGGCAATCTCCCAAGCCCTGCTCTGCTCTGAGTTGTTCCAGTTCTGTGATAAAACGAGTGAGCAAGGCATCCAGAGAGAACCTGGCTGGTGACCAATGCCCAAAAGATCTCAAGTGTGTGTGGACGGGAGGCTGACAGGCCGGATGAGGGATACAAGTGGACTTTCTTCTTCATGGCCAGTGTCTGAGAGGCCCAGAGCCTTCTACAGCCCTCAGGATAGCTCTTGTGACAAAAACATGACGAGTGAGCACCTACATGGGGGAACGAGAAGTTTGGGTGGGGACACTCACCCTCGCAGGGGGTCAACAGCAATAGCCCGGGGTTCACTGAGGTCACGGCTGAAGAGAGTGCAGCGGCGGCGACCATCAAGTGTGGCCACTGAGATGGTCTTATTACCCGAGTCTGTCCAGTAGATATGCTTGTGAACCCAGTCCACTGCTAGGCCCTCTGGAGAGTGCAGCTGCTCACCAATGAGGACCTCCTGGTCTGCTGGGTTGCTGGCCTTGTCCATGTTGGCACTTAGGAGAAATGAGAGCTGGCCATTGGAACATGTTCCACCCACGGTCCCAACCGGAGCTTCCTTTCACTTCTTTCCGGGACACGGAAGTGGCTTTTAGAGGAACTTGGCTAACTGCCATTCAACACATTCCTTGGGCTACCAGGGCAGGGATATAGGCTTGAATCAGCACAATCTCTGGTCTAGTGGTATTGAGTTTAGTGGTAGACAGACGCTTACAGCCAGGTATAATGCAGAGCAATTTCACCAAGCCTTAGAGGCCACGGCAGCAGGGAAATGGAGACTGGGGAAGACTTTGAAGTAGAGTCCTGAAGGACTGGTTCACCAGGGGCACAAAGATAGAAAGCTGTTCAGGCAAAGTAAACAGGGTATGCACACACCCAGGGTGAGCGTGTTGCGGCCTTGTGAGATGTTCAGTGAAGTGGAGCTGGCCTGTGGGATGTAAGGCAAACGCAGGCAGCAACCACATCCTGATCGGCTCTGGGTACCATGCTAAGGTACTGGGCTGTTATCTCAGGCTAAGAGGAGAGAGTGGGCAGGTCCGAGGATGTGACGGGGTAGGTGTGTGAGACCACCTCATACCCCTGTGGAGCGGAGTGGATGGACTGCAGGGGCGGGGGTGAGAGCAAGGAAACTGGTGAGGAGGCTGTCGTGGTGCAAGATGGAGAGGCCCTCAGGGCGGGGAGTCCACTGAGAATGGACAGATGGATAACACATACACAGACCATAAGGCACCATTAGCAGGACTTTGTTTCCCAAATACTGCTGTTCCTAAGGCTTTCTTCTCCCTCAGGCCCTCTCCGGTGACTGGTTTTATAGTGTCCACTGCGGTCCACAATTCTGACTCTTGAAATCCACCCACTCCATTAAGGTCCAGACTGCAGAACCAACCAGCTGCCCTTTGAGGTTCCATGGACACTTTGAACTCAACGCACCCAAACCATGCACCCTCACCCACGTCCCCTGAGTGAACAGAATGCCCAGCCCTCACCCGCCCTCCTCCAGGGCTTCCCATCTCAACAAGCAGCATCACCATTCAAGAACTCCTCAGCTGGAGATCCCTGAGATTCCCCAAATCACCCTTGAAGTTAATTTTGACCCTTCCTCCCTCAGCCCTATACCCAGTCTCTCTCATCAAGTCCTCCTCTTACAGCCAGGCATGGTGGTACACACCTATAATCCTAGTACTCTAGGAGGCTGAGGCAGGAGGACTGCAAAGTCTGCCCAGCCCGGGCAATTTAGCACCTTAGCAAAACCCTCTCAGAAAAACAAACAAACAAAAAGGTTAGGGATATGGTCCCATGCAAAGGCCCTGGGTTCAATCCCCAGTATCAAAAAATAAAAGACAAAAAAAAAACAAACAAAAAAAAACAAAAAAAAAAACAGGGTTGGGGATTTAGCTCAGCGGCACAGCGCCTGCCTGGCAAATGCGAGGTCAGGAGTTCAATTCCTGGTACTGGGGGAAAAAAAAAAAACAACCAATAAAAACTCCTCCTCTTCCAGTCACAGCTGTAGGGCTTGCTCTGCTCCGGATGTTTCTGTGTGTATAGATGTGAACTCAGTGTGGCTCTGTGCTGGGGGAGGTAGGAATCTAGTCGTCACAGAATAGCTTGCTGTATCTGCTTCCATCCACTCATCTGCCTATCCATCCCATCATACTCCAACAGAGCCTCAGTGTCTCCCCAGTGCCTGGTGGTCAGCAGTCCTGCCAACTAGATCTCAAGCAAGAAAGGACGTGACTGCCGAGAGAACCCAGACACACAGGGAGTAGGCTGGTGGCAACGGAGACAGGGGACTTCCTAGAGTGTGTGAGGAGCCGCCCAAGTGGCAGTGTCCACTGCTGTGGCCGCAGACAGGTCACACTCAGGTGCAGGGACCCTGCTTTTCAGAATGATTCTCAGCCCGCAGGGTGGGCAGAGGTCTCCTCTGTACCTCTCCTGTCGCTATAATGGAAGTCAGTATACGAAGTGTGATTGTCTAGCCAGACACCAGTCTGAGTCATCTGAGTCCTCAGGGTCTGACACACAGACAGAGCTGCTTCGAAGGTCTTGGCTAGAGCCAGGCAGTTCTTCCTTCTGGCCTGGCCCTGATTGAACAGTTCCTGTGTCTTGTACTTCCCTGCTAGTGGTCAGACACAGCTCAGGTGTGCGAGTTCAAAACTGCTCTCCCAGCAGAGCTGTCAGCCCAGATGGCCCCAGGGGTGAAGTCCTGGTGTACCACAGTCACGATGACCCTGCATCCTTTCCCAAGTCCAGCTCTGACAAGCCTTTGAGGCAGAAGCCGCTCTTCCTCTTCTCCTGCCACCCACCCCTCACCCCCACTGCCCCAGGCCTGGCTGCAGGGGATGCGCCACTCACCTATAGATCTTGCGGTAGGAGAGGTCACACCAGTAGATGCGATTGGTGGCAACCTCCACATCTAGTGCCACAACATTCTTGAGCATGGGGATGAGGCGTGAGTAATTCCGCTTCACCAGGTCTATCCGCTGCACCTCATGCCGGTTGGTAAAGATTAGGGACGGGCTCTTGCCAGCTGCCAAGCAGGGAGGTTCAGAGAGGGTCATTGAAAAGGCAGAGAGTCTGGCGACTAAACTCTACCCCTAGTTTACAGTGTGACAGTGTGTCATTTTCCTTTGTGAAAATCTCTACCAGGTACTACAGCAGAAGAAGGGAGTATCAAGATGCAAAGCACCATGTAGGACAAAAGTTATTTTCTTTGGATTAACGACAAATTCTCTCAAATCTGTTGTGACTCCCCATTTCCTCCTCAGGCCTACATTGACGCCTTCTGCAGTACAAGACCATGTTCCCTGCTCAGCCTCCTAACCCACCTCTCTAATGCACCTTGCTTCCAGCTACCACACACCCGTGTTATCCCACCAGCGCAGGGCAGGGCTGCACTACCTCAGGCCTTTGCTTGCGTCTTCCCCTCCACCCAGGATGCATTTCTTCCCAGCAGCTATCCCCTTCCCTGTGTGGGGCTCCCTGGCTTAGTTCAAACAGGGACCACCTGAGCAAGGAAGTGCCTCAGAAAGATGGCTCTATGTGTGGGACAGACAGCAGCTCCCCAAGGAGGTTGCTGTGGGTCTTTCTACAGACATGACAAGAGGTGAAGCTGCAGAAACGGCAGGGCTGGGTAATCAAGAGCTGTGAGCTGGGTGAAATCTGTTCTCTATCCTGAACCAGTGGCAGAGGTGGGACATGTGTGACATCTGACACTGATGATATACATGCAGCTGACATAACACAACTGCCCGTGCATACACAAAACTCCTTTGTAGATTTTAGGAAGGTTCTCACAATTTAAATTGTTAGACTTTTAGAAAGATCTCCAGTGATCTAGACATTCCTGGTGATTCCATCTGGAAGGTTACCATCCCATAGGCTATGAGCAAGGACTTAGCAGTGGCTGCCCCAGGCTCTTTGAGATGCATCCGGCCACTCTCAGGCACCAACACATCTGAACAATAGCTCCCAGCAACACCTGTCCCCAGAGCTGCCTGCAGCTCCTCCCTGTGTTTTCCAGCTGACATTTCTGCTGGCCACCTGGTCCCCGTCTGCACATTTGTGCCAGCCTGATATGTGCCCTGGGGACATGGTTGGCGCAGCACAGAGCCAGGCAGGGGCTAGGGCTGGGCATACATTGTGATGGAGACTATCTCAGGGCAGGGGTAAGGGAGGCTGGGATACAAAGGCAGAGCACAGAAGATAGGGCTCAAAATGCAAGAAGGGGAAAGGAGAAAAGCAGGGTTACAGCTTGCTCTGCTCCCAACAAATTAATTCTCCTCACCCCAGATGATAGCAATGACACTTGACCTCTCTGAAGTCAGGCACTGGGTGAGGGGGGCAGCTGGAGGTGATTTTTAATGTTAGCTGTGACAGTAACAGGGTGTGTGTGATAAGTTTCTGTGAAGTGCACTTTAAATATTCATATGTATGGCTCTTCGTGTATACATGGACAGTTGTGTGTTGTCTTTGCTGCCCAAATATAATGTGTTGCATGTTACACATGTCCTATGTGGAGAGCAAAACAGGTAACATGGTGAATGTGTTACATGGTATGCAACTGGGTGATTTGGGGGGGCTTGTGGGCTACAATTCACGCCGTGTGGCTTTTATATTGTTATAATCTATGTAGTTTTCATTTATGTATTAATGCTCCAGACTCACATACCCAACTGACTACTCAGTCCCTACACTTGGACATCGCAACAGTTGTCTTACATTCAACATGTCCCCAGCAGTCTAACCATGGCTTCCACATGGCTTCTCTCACCATCTTTCCCCAGGATAGAAATAGCAATCCTATTTTTTTCAGTTTTTTCAGCCAAAAATCTTGCGTCATCTTTTATTTTTTTTCCTCACATTTAATGTGTAAGAAAATCCCACCGGCTGGCCTTTAAAAACATACAATCTGTCCTCTTCTCAGTATTCCCACTGCAGCCACCCTGGTCCAAGCTACCTCATTTCTGTTCTGCATTACTACAACAACCTCCTGTTGTGGCTTGTGTCTAGACGTCCCCGCAAAGCTTCATGCAGTCATAGGTGGGGCTTTTCCGAGGTGGCTGGACCTAGGGTGTGTGACACTGGGATTAAGGATGTGATGCTGGGACTGACTGATTCATGATACAATGCTAGGATTAAGGCTGCCCCAGCCTGGATGTGAGTGCTACCTGCCCTAAGGGTGGGTACCCTGGATAGGATACAAGGGACAGAAAGAGGGCTACTGCTGTTGCTTGCTGCTTACTGCTTAGCTACTTCACTGCTTTGCTGCTTCTGGCTGCCATGAACTGTTTTTTCTCAGTGATGCCCCTCTGCCATGCCACCCTGCCTTGGAAACAGCCGACTGTGGACTGAAACCTCTAACCATGAGCTAAATAAAACTTTCCTCCTGTAACTTTGGGTGCTGGGTGTTCTGTCTCAGCCACAAGAAAAGTAACTAAGATACCTCTTAAGTGGTTTCCCATTCCCTTCCCTATGCTCTGCAGGCTACTCTCAGCATAGCCAGACAGAACCCGAATGGCACTCCAAATTCTTCCCTCACTGTGGAAAGTCAAGTCAGCCCTTGCAGTGTTCTAGAAGGCTTTACGAGATCGGCCCCAAGGCACCTCTCTGACTTCATCGCTTCCTAAACTCCCTGCCCCAACTGCAATGACTTCCTTGCTCTCCCCTCACCACCCCGGGCATGTTCTTGCCTTAGGGACTCAAACTTTCTGTTCCTTCAGCCTGAAATGCTGTTCCTGCAGATCACTGAGTGTCCTGTTCCTTGACCTTCTTACCATTTTTACTCAAATGTCACCATTGTAGTGAGGGTGCTCCTGACCTGACCATTCCATTTAAAACTGTAAACCACTGCCCTCTAGACTTCCCTCTCCCTACTTCCTACGTTGTTTCTCCTTAGCCTTTATCCCCAGCTGCCACGTACTGCATTAATTTATCTATCTGATTTCTTGTCTGTCTCACTCATTACAATGTAAGTCCAGTGGATTAAAGATCTAAATATTAAAACAGAAACAATCTGCTGGAAGACAAAATAGGTAAAACTCATAGGTATAGGCAAAGAACTATACAGAACTCTGGCTGCGTAAGAAATAATACCAAGAATCAATAAATAGGATCACATCAAATTAGAAAACTTCACAGCAAAGGAAACCACAAACAGCGTGCAGAGACAATCTACAGAATGGGAAAAAGTTTTGCCAGCTACTCCTCAGATAAAGGACTACTATCTAGAAATATAAAGGCTCAAAAAATTATACTCCCCCAAATTTAAAGACCTAGTCAAAAAATGGGCATATGAAATGAATAGATACTTCTCAGATGAAGAAATACAAATGGCCAATAAATACATGAAAAAATGTTCAGTGTTGCTTTTCATTGGAGAAATGCAAATTAAAACACTGAATGCCAGGCATGGTGGTGCACGCCTGTAATCCCAGTACCCAGGAGGCTGAGGCAGCAGGATCACTATGAGTTCAAGGCCAACCTGAGCTACATAGTGAGTGAAGGACAGCCTTAACTACATAGCAAGATCCTGTCCCAGAAAAAAAATTTAAAAAATAAAAATAAAATAACAGTGAGGTTCCATCTTACTCCAGAAAGAATGGTCATTATCAAGTAATCAACAAATAATGAAACCTAAAGAGGCTGCAGGGGTGGGGAAGAAGAAAGAACCCTTTTTCATTGTTGGTGGGAGTGTAAGGTGCAACCACTGTGGAAATCAGTGTGGAGATTCCTCAAAAACTAAAACTAGAAATTTCATTTGACCAAACTATTCCCCTTCTAGGCATCTTCGTGAAAGAGTAAAGACATCATATTGCAGTGATCCACGCACAGCCATGTTTATAGCAGCACAGTTCATAACAGCTAGATTTTGGAAGCAGATTATATGACCACTGACAGATAAATGGATAAAGAAAATGTAGTATTCATACACAATGGAGTACTACTCTGCCATAAACTTGAATTATTTGTAGAAAAATGGGTGCAGCATAATGTCAAGAGAAGTAAATCAGACACACAAGCTTAAATAGCTCATGGTTTCTCTTATATGAGAAACCCAAACTATAAATAAAGAGCAAAATAAAAGACAGACAATAGGAAAAAAAGTTATTGTAATCCAGAATGGCCAATGTATCTAAAAGTGTACCTTGATTTAGTGTAACTGTTTCATGTGTTTTGGTCTATTAGTCTGACAATCTGTGTTTATGATAATTTGATAAAAACAAAATAAATCTGATGCTGGCAAAAAATGTGTTGAGTACATGTACCAGCTCCTCACAATGAATATAATCATTATGTATTGCAAACATACTCATACAAAATAAGATAGCAAAAAAAAAGGAAAAGAAGTCCACGAGAGTAGACAGGGATTTGTGTGTGTTGCTTTTGTTTAATCCCCAGTATCTACAACAGTTTTAGGTATTCAAAATAAGAATTAAGCAAGATGAATTAATTCAGTTGGCTCAACTGATACACGTGTAGGTCTGCCTATGTCCTGCTCCCTGTGCGTATGGTCCCAGGTTGTTATCTGCACATTCTACTCTACAGACGTAACCTCCGTGGGCTGTGTTAGGCGGCTCTGTGTGGTGTCTGTGTGGGTGTTAGCATGGGGTACATTGTGTATGTGATGTTCATTTAGAGTCTGAGCATTATATATGCAATCTGCTGTCTAGGTGCACGTGCACATGTACACAGCGACTCCTCACATATGTGGGGACATGCAGCTTCCTGAACTTCTCAGGGAAATCCCCCTGCCCTCGGGCATCCGTACCCACAGCCTTGCAGTTCTTGGTCAGTGTATCCATCTCATAGCCAGGGTGGCACTCGCACTTAAAGTATCCCTTGTAATTCACACAGATCTGGCTGCAGGCATCTGGGTCCTCACACTCGTCTATGTCTGTGGGAGGAACAGAGGTCAGAACAAGCAGGGGGATCTGTCTCCGCTTGGGCAAGTAGGGCAAGTCTCACCGCCACAGGTCTTCTGGTCTAGAAGACGGAGGCCGGCCGGGCAGGAGCACTCGAAGCCAATCTTGAGATCAGTGCAGATGTGGGAACAGCCACCATTGTTGTGCTGACACTCGTTCAGTCCTAGGGGGGTGGGGGGGATGCAGGCTCCTGAGGGCCCAAGAGCCCAGAGGGTGGGGCAGGCAGGGCACAGGGCCCAATGTGGAAGCACAGCCTGGAGTGGCAGAACTCCCACACTGCTAAGAAGGCTCGAGACCTCATAGAGCCTCAGCTTCAGATCTTTGTTCAAGGCCAGACCAGACAGGGATGGGGGAGCCAGAGCCTGGGTTCTTATCCTCCCTGGCGAGGGTTCTATCTGCCTCCAGGTTGGAGGCAGCTAGCCCTTCCCTGGCGGACTGAGGTCTTTCCTTTCGCATCCACACTTCTTGCTGCGCTCCTTCCTCATGACCCCTGAGCTCTTGCAGGGGCTTCCACGTAACATCTAACCCTTGGCCCCAAGAACATCTTCTGAATGTCAGCCTTGGAGAGCCTGTGCTCCTCCTAGGCAGATGGCTCCAACTGGAACAGCACTGCCCCTTATGGAGCACATCCTCCCAGGCTCTGCCTCCTGCAGCCTTTACTATGCCTCCTAGCTCTGCTGTGTGGGGTTGGCTGGGATACAGGAGCACCCTTAGAACTTCCTGAAGGTGCTGATTTCTGGTCCCTTGCCACTCGGATCCCTTTCTCTGGACGCATTCCACTTGTCCATGTCCTTCTCTGGGCAGGGCCCAGAGCTAGCTGGCCAGCCAGAAAGAGTCTAAACAACATTGGATGGCTCCACTATCCTTGCAGTACCTAGGACTACCATGCCAGGCCTTTTTCTACACAGACCTGCTGCCAAGCCAGTTCTTTCCTACCATGAACTAAATTAAAACAATGGGTATTTTTCAACTCCTCTCCTCTTGCCACCTCGCCCTCTTCCTCCACCTCATCAAAGATCTGGTCCCAGGATTACCAACTGGTGAAAGGGATAAGGGGATGTCAGGGGGCTCTGGTCCCCCCATCCTCCACTCCCTTATCTCCTTCCGGAGGGTTCTACGGGAGGGAGGTCCGGGAGTCCAGGACCAAGGCTCATCAAGTTCTCACGGCATCTCCTGATCTTTAGAATCACAGAAGGTTAACTTGACAAGCCAAGGGAAGGTGCCACACCACCCCCTGCCCAGCAGCCTCATGCACAGCCACTCCAGCCAAGCCAAGCAGAGCTAAGCTGAACCAGCCATGGGCATGCAGGAAGCTGGTCTGAGCTGCCCACCCGAGGCCATGCACAGCTGGGCGTGCCCCACCTCCAGCCTAAGCCATGCTTAGGAAGTGTCCCCTTTACCCCTGGGCCTCCTTCTCTTCCCCTGGAATGATGGTGCAGCTGAAAGAACAAGACCACAGCAACGCCATGACTCAGGGGTCCAGGCATGGCTCAACCAGGTCCAGCCCAGAGAAGCCCCAGGCTCTTGCCAGTGTGCTGAGCCATGGAGCTTCAGAGTGGTCTCTGGGGAAACTGCCTTCAGGAATGGTTCTGTCCCCTCAAGCCCTCCCTGACCTCTCTTGAACCGTATTATTCCGAGTGCCACCCACTCATGTGTTCTCCCACTCACTCACTACATCATTCATGCATCCACTCGCTTCCTTCCTCTCCTTTTGCAGGTGACAGCAATTCCACGATTCTATTTACTGAGCACTTGATGGGTGTAGACCAGTTTTGAAAGGGGGAAGGGGAGAGCTCAAAGTGACTCTGGCTTCTGATGAAAGAAGGTACAGATTCCTCTGGGTCTGAAGTAGGTGAAGGGAAGAAAAAGGGTGGTGGGTCCACACCTGCCTATTCCCATCCACCTTCCCTGGAAGACCTCAAGAGAAGTCTCCCTAATTCTGTCCAGTCTGGGGGTGATTCTTCTGGGGAACTGGGAGAGGAAGGAAACGGTAGAGTGGTCCAGAGAGGCCTGGGTAGCATCTGAGGCTTCCTTGCAGGGAAGGAAGCGGTGGTGTCCCTCTCCCCAGCACGTGCACACACTTACATGCAGACACCTGCATGCATACGCACACATACACACACACACACATACACACACACACACATATACACACACACACACGCCAGCTAACATGCAGAGACACGGACAGGACCATGGACAACTCCAACGCTCACACAGACGTGGGAACACATCCAGAGAGACAGACAGAGAAGCCTCAGACACCATCACGTGCATACATACTTCTCTTTGGCAAGTCATGCGCAGTATGAGAGAAGAGAGAGTTTAGCAGGTTAGTGGTCCCTGGCTCACTGCGGTCTGAGTGTGGGGGGACAGACCCAGTTGTTCCTACTTCCCTGCTCCTCCTTCTACAGGTTCCTCCTCCTGGGCCTTCTCCTGGCCACCTCTCAGGGCTGACCTTCACCCAGCTGCTCCTTTCACTTTCAGCTTGAGGTCTGGGTGTTGTAATCTTCAAAGGGGGAGGAAATGTGCTGTTCCTGGGGAGCCGCAGAGAATGCAGTCCCTCCGGGTGCCCAGGAGGGGTGGTACTGGGGCAACATCTGCCACGAGGTAGGAGTGGGAAGACTGACCTCTGTCCTCCACGGGCTACTCTGACCAAATCTCCTCGAACCTCTGACCATCTGGCACCCGCAGAGAAATGACTCACACACTTTCCCAGCTCCACCCTGGGTTCCGGTGCATCCGGGATGCGCATCCCACCTGCACACATAGCCTCTGTTCTCTCCAGCCTGGAATCCACCCTGATACCTTTGGCTATTAGGACAATGCCCTCGTTCTAGTTCTCACTTGTCCAGCCTGCAGATGCCAGGGAAAAGGGCAGTGCTCCCCCATACTGCTGGATGCAGCAGTCCTAGATGGCATCGGTTGGCCTCCTGACTGCTATTCTCCCCTTCTCCCCTCCTGAGTCTCCTGCAGGGGGTAGAAGAGCTCAGAAGCTAGGCCCCTAGCTAGGTCCGTGGAGCAGAGCATGGAGGAAGACAGAAAGCTGCACTTAGCACGCACTCAGAAGTTTGAATGTGGAAAGAATGGGCAAGAGGAGCTAAGTTTGTAAGAAGTCGCACAACTTTTGAGCATCTGAGTGGAAGGGAAAGGCCTTAGTGTCACAGAATGCAGAACAAGAGGCCCCAGGGGCGGAGAGCCACCGGGCAGCACACACATCCAGAGAGGGGAGCAGAGGGTATTGAGAGAGGCGTGCGTATGGGGCCTGGCAGGAGGGTCAGTCCCGCCGCTGGGCGGAGACAGGTACCGTACCACACTCTTTCAGCAGCTCATCCGACCAGTCCTGGCAGTCCTTCTGAGCATCACACACTTTCCCGCCGTCCACGCACTCGCCACTCTTACACTGAAATCTGCGGGGACCCTCACAAGTGGACTCTGTCAGGCCAGACAAAAGAGTGGACGATGCCTGTAATACCTCAGGCAAGAGGCCCAGGGCTGGGCCCAGGCCCAGGGGAGATAAGCAGAGTTCCAACCCCCACAAGGTCCCAGGGAGGATCAGCCCTGTGCGTCATCTAACTCGGCGGAGCCATGGGTGTCTGTACTTGACCTGGAGGCCTGGGGCCCTGGAAGGGACTGCAGCAGCTCTATGGAGACGTGGAGAGTGGGCTGCCCATCTCCTGAGAGGAGAGACCTCTGTCCACGGAGCCTGAACAGGAAGGGACCCTCACTACCCAGATAACTACTGCAGGGGGAAGGTAGTGACCAGGAGAACTGTCTGCCCAGTCCAGGAACCAGTGAGGGAAACTTTTTAACATGGACAAGCGGGGTGAGGGCTGGGCTTCCTGCAGTGCCCTTTCACGTCCCTGAAGATGTCTTTCAGCCGTTAGTGAAGTCCAGAATAACCCAGTTCTGGTATTGCTAAGACTCCGTGGGACGGAGACCAGCTCATACAGGGGCAAGGGACACTCTGGGCAGGAATATATCCCGGGAACCAAGGGGCAGTCCCTGCCGCTTCCGCTCTCTCTGCAGACCTAGCAGAGAGCGTGGGGCTTTCCTCAGGGCACCCTGACTCTGCCCACATTACGCATACCTTGCAGGCAGCCAGCTTCATCGCTCCCATCTGGACAGTCTTGTTCCCGGTTACAGCGTTTGAGCGCCAGGACACAAGTCCCATCCCCACACTGGAACTCGTCTCCATGGCAGGTGCCCAGCACTGCTGGGAGAAAGCAAAAGGACAGGGTCAGAGTGAATATGGTGCCAGGACAGCCCCATGCCGTATCCCCCGGCAAGAACAGAACCAGTGGCTGTGCTTAGGAGTCCTCAAAGGACACCTGGCCAAGGCACCTCTAGTATACAGATGGGGAGACTGAAGCTCAGAGAGGGGGAAGGCCTTGCCCGGGGCACACAGCGCTCTGGCAGGCACAGCGAGGACTAAAACTCAGGGCTCCTGTTTTCCTGTCTGCTGCTTCTCCCCAGAGCAGACATATGGCCTTCCGTTGAGTCTTGGTGCTCAGGACTCCTGACTTTGTCCACTTCGCCAACCCTTCCTGGGCTGGGTGCTGTGCTGGGTGGGTGCGAGGTGCCGAGGGGACTGAGCATCCCCAGGACGCACAGCACGTGAGATGTGCTGTAAGAGGGGGTCACAGGGTCCTGCCCCTGCCACATGGTCAGTGGAGATGTGAAGGGAGGGCATCAGGGCTGAGCCACGGGCACCGGTGAAGTGTGTGCCTGGCTTCCGGGGTTTGCGTGAGCCCCGCGCTTAGTAGCCGTTGAGATATCGATCAGTCAATTCTATTAAGTCTCCTCTCTCCTGAAATGGGGGTGGTGCGCTCTGGAGAAGGCAAGGAAGGGAAGTCTGCGCCTGGCCAGGGCGCAGCCAGCTCTGCAGGCCCTGCAGGGGGGTGGGCAGTGTGGAGGGGGCTTACGGCAGTCGGCCTCGTCCGACTTGTCCTTGCAGTCGCGGTCGCCGTCGCAGCGCCAGCCCAGGTGTATGCACTCGCCGCTGCGGCAGGTGAACTGGGTGCTGGGGGCGCAGGCTGCGGGCGCCGATGTGGTCCCCTGGCCTGCTCGGCCGCAGAGTTCGGCCACCTCGTCCGAGCGGTCCTCGCAGTCGAACTGGCGGTCGCAGACCCAGCGCTCAGGGATGCAGCCACCACCGCCACAGCGGAACTCCCGGGGCCCGCAGGCTGGGTCTGCACAGCCGCGCTCGTCGCTGCCATCCCCGCAGTCGTCGTCACCGTCGCACACGAACACAGAGGCCAGGCACGAGCGGTTGCTGCACTGGAACTCGTGCGGGGCACACACTGTGCAGGACAGAGAGCCGGTCGGCCGGCCGAACCCCATCCTCTGCCGACCGGCCCACGGGCACTGCTACGGGGTCTCTGACCCGCACCTGTGGGCCGGAATGGGTTCGGCCGGGGGCCCGAGTAGGGGGCGTAAGGTCAGGCATAGCAAAGGGTAGCCTCCAACTGGGGCTCTGCCACGGACAAGCTGGGTGACCCTGGACAACCCCCTTGCCCGACCTGAGCCTGTCCAGCTTTCCTGTGTAAGTGCAGGGAGGGTTTCTGCGGGCTAAAGCTGCACAGTGCAGCCTACCTTGAAGGACAGGAGATGACATGTAAGATGACACTATGCCCAGGCCAACGGGTTTGGCGTCGCCTCCTGACAGCAAAGCTCTACACAACCTGTACGCTCAGTCCCAGTCCCTGCCTGACACCGCGGCTCAGGCCTACAGCTCAGGCCCACGGCCTCGCTCCCACACATGCCAGCTCCAGCCACCCCCGACAGACTGTCTGCCAGGCCCAGCACACACAGGGCCACCTCCAGGCCTTTGCTCCACTCGCTCCACCTTCTGGCAACCTCCCTCTTGCCCACCACTGCCCCCACATTTTTAATCAAGTTCTCAACTTTCCAAGGCTCAAATTCTGCCTGCACCATCACATGCTGCACGCTTCCCTCCCTGGGAAACTTCCCTCTGCCTCTGCCCTCCTTTTGCATGCTTCGTAAGCCTGCCCAGGTATCTGAGTTTCAGGGCCTTCTCCACCTGGCCCGGGACCACAGAAGGCCTCTGTCCTCAGTGCCTGGCAGGGAGCTCCAGCAGCATGGAGCGGACGGGTGCTGGACTCCTGGGTCTGAGGATAATTAAGCCTGTGCAGTAATGAAGAGCACCATTCCCGGCACCGCCTGGGGTCCCGGGCTTCTCTCTATGAAGAGCTGGCTTGAGCTCACAGGCAGGAAGAACCTTAGGAAAAAACCAGCCCAACTGCTAGTTTACAGACAGGAAAGTTGAGGCTCAGGGAGGAGAGTGACTTTACTCAGGGTCACATTGTTCTATGGTGACAGAACAGAACTCAGGTTTGGGACATTCCCTTTCTATCTTTCATCTCAGCTTTTCTGTTTTTTCTGTCCCCTCCTGGAATGCAAGCTGTTTTCAGGCCAGCAACTTCCTTCCCTCCTTTGTGTCTTCAGACCCTGGCCAAGAATTGGCTCTGGGGCCCAAGAAGGTGACAGATGCTCTGGCTATGACCACAGGTAAAGGGTGGTGTTAGTACCAGATTTCTCCACGTGGGGGCACCTAGAGCCCGGGTTTGTTTTCTGATTAAAAACCGTCAATTTTCATTGTTATGGAATATAAAGTGATATCTCTGGTTTCACAATGTAGGTAGCGCATGTCATGTGTTTCTGACAGCTCTACCAGCTTCTGACAGTTGCATTCTTTTTCTCCTTCTGGGCTTCTGGGATATTAGGACACTGGAGCACATGTGACATGGAGCCATGATCCCTCAAGATGATGCTGCCGCCTAGATCAGCTGCCCTCCTGCCGGGCTTGTAAACGTGCAGGAAGAGGGGATCTGGTGCTTCTGAAAGCCCCCACAGGAAATGCTTCTTACTACTGAGTTCTCACAGGTTCTGAAAATGACAGTGATGGTAAGATCCATGCTGTCTAGGCCTGGGACCCCATCCTCTGCATTCACAAATGGAAGAGATTCTGAGAGATGGGAGAAGGATTTTTTTTTTTCCCTCTGCACAAGCAGTAGGGAGCTGTAGCGGAGAAGCCCAGTAAGACCTCCTAGTACTCTGGGCTCTATAATTAACAAGGAATGTCCCTGTCCCAATATGCCCTAGTCAGAGAGACTCCCACCTCCTGCTGCAGTGACTGATAGCTTTTATAGAGGAAGAATCAGCTGATTCTTGGGGGGCGGATAAGGGAGAAAGCGGACTCTCACGGGCCATGCGGACTCTCACGGGCCATGCGTCCTCACGCTATTATGACAGCTGAAGAAACGAGCCGGTGCAATGAGATTTTGAAACTGCTGGATCTCCCTACCTATCTAGATGTCTCCTGCCTCAGACCCATTAAAGCTCCAGACTCAAAATCTCTGGATGCTGTGACTCACACGCCTTGGAGAGACGGCCTTTCCTCTGGGTCACAGGGGACGGCTAGGATGCACACAGAGGCCGGTGGAAGGGAACAGGGGTAAGAGACAGCAGTGGACAAGCACCTGGTAAAAGTTCCCGAGTGGTCACCTGTGTCTCAGGCCAGCCTCACGGCCTAGCTGGTTCCCCTGAAATCATGGGCAAGGACAGAGGACTGCATGGGAGTCACCTCATTCTTCCTTCCACCCCTGGCTCCAGGCCTGGCACACAGTAGGTGCCCCTTGCATTGAGATGAGTGAGGCCCAGCCACGGTCCCCGCAGGCCCAGGCCTAGCTGACCTGCTCCCTGGAAAGGAGATAATCCTGTGTTTGAAGCTCAGTGATGCGGAACAGCCCCGGTGACCACTTCCATCTGTCCCCGCTGAGGCTGCTAGGAATGTCTTCCCCACCCTGTGACATGTGTGCTCGAATCTGAGCTTTCGGCCACAGGAGTCCTTCTCACCTGGGGAATCCGCCCTGCCCCCTCCACCAGCCCTGGCAGTGCCGGTGCCCTGGCTCAGATCTCCACCTCTCCACAGGCTGCCCCTGGTCACCCTGCCTTTGCTCCCGGATCAGTAGGCTTGTGGAATGGATGAGAAGATGTTAGGCATGGTACAAAGCTCTGCTGTCCAGTCCTGAATTTGCATCTTGAGTCCCTCATTCAGCCTGGGACATTTTTCCTCCCTTGTCTGAGCCTCAGTTTCCTCACCCATCACAATGGGAATGACAATGGCTACTCATGAGGTGGTGTGAGGATGAAAGAAAAAAATATCTCTTAAGTGCCGGGCCATTACTAGTGTCCTGATGCACATCAGTTCCTGTCCACCTACCGGGCCTCCAGGGAAACAGGCCCCTCCTCAGAGGTGGCCGCCACGCCCCGACACTGCCCACCATGCTTGGCAGACCGTTGGGCTCCGGCCCCAGACTCACAGGTAGCACAGCCGGCCTCATCCGCGCCACCCTCACAGTCCTTCTCTCCGTCGCAGCGCCACGAGGCAGGCACACACTTGTGGCTGGCAGGTCCACAGCTCAGCTTCTCTGCAGGACACACTTGCCTGGCTGCGGAGAAAGACCATGCATGGCTTAGTGATGGGGGACACAGGGCACAGGCACCAATCCGTCCTATCACCGGCTCCCAGCCAAATGGCACAAGGCTGGAAAGTCCATCGGGGCCTGAATCCCATCTGCCCCTTGCACTCCCTAGATCCTAGCTCTGACCCCATCACTGCCCCACCTAACTCTCACGGCCCCTGGTCCCTGACAGTCGAGTGGCTCCTCGACCCGGTGAGCCATGACTGACCTGCACGGTTGTACCTCCCACTCCTCTGGGCCTCCTCTCTAGGCTCGAGCACCTGAGGCCAACATGCCCTGCGCTTGTCCCTGCTGAGTCAAAGCTGTGTGCCCTTGGGTGAGATACACCCAGCTGGATGTCACTTTACGGTCCAGATCATTGACTCCACGATCTGACCCTGGAGATCTAGGGGGCTCGCTAGAGCTCCAACAGGCCCAACCCACCCCTCTCCAAGCCCCCTTCCCCAGTGATGGTGCTGAGCTTTGCAGCTGAGAACAGCACCGCACAGCAGGGCCCAGCGGGACTGCACAGCTATAATTACTGCAGCCGCAATCACAGGCTGACGCAATCAGGGGCCTGAAGCCCCAGGGTTGATTCTCAATTTGGAAGAAGGAATGAGAACCCTACGCAGCTCTTATCCTGAGCCTTCTCTGATCCACATGACCGCTGGGGCAGACGCATCTCAGACCTCCAGGGTTGGCTCCCTACTGCCTTCCAGGGGGTGCGAGGGGCCAGATCTCAGTGGCGTCTAGTAGGTGCCAGGCAGTGCTAGATGCTTTATTTAATCTTTATAATAATCCAACAGAGTGAGGATTATGTCCTGACCTCCAGGATGGAGACAGACACCATGGGCTCCAAATCAGAACTCAACCACTCACTGGCTATGTGACCTTGGCCATTCCCTATCTCTGTGCCAGTACAGCAGGAAGATGGCATGACCTGTCTCACAGGGTTGTTACGATGACCAGGCCACTGTCTGTAAAGCACAGAAAAGGACACTCAGCCCAGCGCTCCCTAAATGTTGCCTCTTATTCACATCCACACGTAACAGATGCGAGTCCTGAGTCTTGGTTAACCGCTCAGTGAGTACTGACTGTGCACTGCTGTGTACCAAACATGGTGGCAAGCACTGAGTTCCAGTCACACAGCTGGGAAGAAGGGTGTGAGAATGCGGCCAGCTGTGTCTGCTGCCACAACTTAGACTCTGTGCACTGTCCCCCGGGGCAGTGGCTACCCGGGTCCCACTCTGATTTCTGATGTCAGACCAGTTTCCTATCCTTTTACTTCTTCAGCTGGGATGAGAAAAGGCACAGAAAAGGGGTGGAGGGCTATGCCAGGGTCCCCCGGCAGTTCCATGTCATGGGAGAAGTGTGGACCCCAAGGTTATCCCTGGGAATATATTTCACAAACTCTAAGGCAATTCACTGAGAATATGGGATTCATCTTACAGACATATCCACTTACAAGTAACTGTCAGGCAGAGCTCTGGAAAGCACTGACACTTCAATGACTCTTTAAAAGGCCACCTCAATTCAGCCTTGTGGGTAGGTGAAGGAGCCTGGGAGTTTGGAGCTGGGGTCCTTCTAGGGCATCTCTATCATGGTGGGACTTCAGGTCAGCACTCCAGGGCCCCGGCCCGATACGAAGGTGCTGAAATTGACCAGCACTTCCCAGAGGGTCCTCTAACCAACAGGTAGAGGTGAGCAGTCCTCATATATGTAGGTTCTGGGGCCGTGGCTTATACCAAGTGAATCCAGACTACAAGTAATTCTCCATCCCCAGTTCAGGCAGCTCTATTTGAGAACTCCAGTTACTACTCTACCCCGCTAAAAGGTAAGGGGCATTTAATGTCTTTCAAGTATAAAACAGTAAAAGAAGTCCCAGGCATCTGCAGGCTCTAGAGACAGCAGTAAGTCCTGTGCTTACCTCGAAGCCAGGCCTCAAGAAACAGACGCTCCCAGGGCAGTGGGAAGGGCCACGGTGACCAGGCACCTACAGTGTCAGGCTACGCTGTACCTTGTCAAGGTGGAAAATTAGTGCCTCGCAAAATCCATACCGGAACCTAACTCTCAATGTGGTAGTGGTAAGCAGCCCCCATAAATGGGTTCATGCCCTAACGAAGGGGGCCTGCGGGAGTTCCCTTGCCCCTCGTGGCATGTGGGTTCAGGGAGAAGGCACCAGCTATGTGAAAGGGGCCCTCACCAGACACTAAATCTACTGGTGCCTTGAACCTGGATTTCTCAGTCTAGAGGCTCAGAAATCAATCAGAAATCAATAGATTTCTTTTACTTACAAATCGCCAGTCTAAGGTATTTTGCTATAATAGCCAGAACCAACAAAGACACAGCGCCACATGCTGACAGGTAAACAGCCACTGCAGGTTGTGAGTACAAATTCCAGGGGTGCCATTCACAGACATCATCAGGTGAGTGGGGTCCCTGGAGTGGAGAAGGGCAGCAGTCCTACAGGTGAGCAAGCCACTGTACAGGTGAGGAAACTGAGGCTCAGCGAGACCACATAACTGACGCAAAGACACACAGCAGGTGAGAGACAGAGTCTGGGTGCCTCTGACTGGATCCCCGACTTCTCCGTCAAACTCTGCATGCTCCAGAGTCAAACCCAAGCTCTCTCCCCAGACTCCAGGTGACTTAAATGGCCCTTGGCTGTGGGCACCACCTCCCTTGGTTCTGCAGACCCTAGTGTGGCGGGCAGCTGATTGAACTTTTAATGAATATTTATACAGTTAATAGCATAACCTTTCAGCAAGGACAATGATTAAACAATCCATCTGCTTCCTTTCTTTATAATTAATAAGACATTTGCTGTGTCCCTAAATAGACAGCTCTAATTACAGGCTCTCAGGATTCAGCAGTACCTGACATCAGACCCCTCACCCCCAAAGAACCAAGGCTCTTGGAATGCCAGGACAAGTGCACCCTGGGGGTCATGTCGATGAGGATGCCCTGGAGGAGCAGGAGCCCACCCGCAGAGAAGGGCAGGTACTGGCCATTCCAAATGTCCCTCTCCTGGAGCCTCACTGTCATTCTCATGATAGATAGCTCTTCCCCAAAGCCAAGACCCCAGCTGGTTTCAGCCTCCAGATCAGCAGAGCCCTGGAAAGTGCTGACGTGCAGTATCACCCTATGAGGTCGGTCCTCCTATTTCCTCCAAGGAAGTTGTCTGCTCAATGTCTTGTGGTGAGGGGCAGAACTATCTTCCATCCCAGGCCCAAACACACTGCTTAACTTCCGGGGCTTAACACTGCACCTGAGAACAGACCCCGCTGGTCTCCCTAGCACATCTGGGATAGAGGGGAGCCACTAGGGATAGGGGCACAAGGGGCCTTTGCTGGGCAGGTTGTATAAGGCGGCTGTCTGATGCTCACTTTCAGGATCCCTAAAGCCAGTGGCCCCCAGGCAGCATGACATGGGAGAAAGACCATGAGCTTCAGGCAGGCAGAGCTGGTCCAGATTCCACCCTGCTGCTCAGGTCCGTCGGCTTGGGTAAGTCACTGCACTCTGGCTCCCCTCATCGGAAGCTGGGGCTAAACGCTCTCCTAGGGTTGGTGCATGGTTTAAATGAGGAAACATGGAAATCCTTATACTCAAAAGCCTAGAACAAATTTGAAGCTCAGAACACAGTTGCCCTTGTTTTATTTCATGAAATAGAAGTGCAAATGGCTGGCAGAGAGACCTAGTCCCATCCCCAGGAACACACATGAGTCTACAGGGCTCTCCACAAGGCAGCTCCCATCCCAGAGCAGCCTCTCCCTCAGGGAAAGATGCTCCAAGGGACACCTCTGGCCTGCTATCCAGGCACCCCGGTCCTGCGAGACAGGAGTGAAGAACCTCACTGTCTCTCAGACAACAGGAGCCCTTGACAGTCGGCAGGGAGGCTTGCAACTCCACCCTGGAGTGGCTGCAGGCATCTATTAACTTCCACAGAATCCTGCCCCAGAAATCCAAACCCATGAGTATTTTCTCCAATTCATAAGTTCACAAATTAACAAAAAGGGAAATGTCTGTTGGGTAAAAGAATGAAAATACTTAGCAGCTGCGCATTGATCAGGCAAGTCTGTGGTGTCGATTCACATTCTCTGGGGGAGCCAGCCTCCAGCTGGGGCTGCGAGGAGACCAGAGACGCGGGCAGTGGGGACCATCCCACCATGCAGAAACGGGGCTACATGGGGTCAGGCGAAATGCACCCAGCTGGGTCAGTCCCTATTTGCTGGGCCTCTGTCTCCTGAGCCATAATAGAAAGGTGAGCTTGGTTAACCAGTGAGGTTTCCTTCCAGGCTCCAAGATGCAAGGAAAAATTCCACATTCAGTGAGTAGCAGCACCCAGAGTGCAACTCACTCCCCTTGATCCCACCCCCGCCCCCCCCCACAGCTGCCTGAAGGTGGGTCAGAGCCGTCCCCAATCAAGGAAGCTATAATTAGAGCTGAAATGCTACTTTCATTAGGCAAATGTTCTGTGCTTTTCCATGGTGACTCTGGCTCTAGCTGATAAGCACTGAACTCAGAACCAGAGAGAACCCCAATCAGCTAGGCGTGGGCCACACTGTAGGAAAAAATGTCAGTGCTGAGGAGACTGCCTCCATAGCCCTTTCCCTTTGTACACCACCTCCCCACTTATGCTATTCTAATATTTTAACATCATAATATTCTAATAGTCATGTTGAAGGCGGAGGGCTTAGAGTCCAAATAATAAAAATAACACTGTCATTTATTCCAGTAAGGACCAATACCTGAATTTTCTCATTATGTCCTCACAAGCCCTGTAAGGCAGATGCCATTATGCCATTTTACAGATGAGGAAACTGAGGCTCAAAGAGACTGGGCAGTTGTGTTAAGTATCACAGGTTAAAGGAGCAGACCGACTATATCAGATACCAAATCCACTACACATTACTGTCTACGATCTTTCTATTAGGTGCAAGGAGTGGGTCTGGAGTCTGAGAGTTGGCACAGGCCCAGAAACCTGGTAGGCTACGGAGGTTGCTATGGCAACACCAATTAAATGGACAGCGGGTTGGCTGCTGGGTTCTCATTCGGTTGGAAGCTGTGATCAAGCCTGCTACTAGGTCCCCAGCTCTGCCTTAGCCTCACGGCTGTACTGTGACTAACCTCTTCCAGGCAGCCCTCCCCAGCCACAGGCCTCATCTGCCTCTGACCAAGGTGACTACACAGGAAGTAGGGTCCCCGGGCCTTGCACTCCAGCTGGACACAGGCAAACGAGAAAGAGGGTCTCAGTATTAAGAGCTGAGAAAGCCTGGCACTGTGAGGCCTTTGGAGTTTTGGGTGTTAGATCAGGGCCCAGACAGATGGGAAGTTAGGGCCTCACACAAGTTATTGGGGCAGACCCAAAGGATTGCTGGCCTCTCCTCTCCTGGGTGTTGCCGTGGCTGCTCCTCCCAAGGGTGCCCTGGCAAACCCGAGAGCTTGAGGAGCCTGTCTTTCATCACGGAAGGGCGAAGGCCCAGAAGTAAGCTGTGTATCTCTGAGGCAAGTCTATCGACTTCTCTGGTCCTCCATTTGCCCAACTGTGAAATAAAAGTGGGCCTGGGAGGCAGGACAAGCATGGCAGGAGCACCCTGCACAGCCCACAGCGGGGACGGGGTAGAGGAAAAAGACAGGGAAACAAGGGCGGCAGGGAGGAGAGAGCTGGGGAGCTGAGGATGCGCAGGGGAGGGAGGCAGCCGCAGCGCAGGGCTGGGTGGGGCCTGAGGAGAGGCAGAAAGGAAAACAAACACCAACATCCACACTGAAAAACAGCCGTGGGAAGAAGGCAGCACACCCTTCAGGCAGCAGGACAGCCCCTTGCAAAGAACCACAGTGAACCCCTCTTCCTGCCAGTGTCAGGGCAGCAAGTGGAGTGGGTGTGGGAGGCACAGGGGGCTACTGCAAGGGTAGCCGAGCCCCTGGGCCACAGCCCTCCTCCCGAATCGCACAGGACTCTGCCCTGTCTAGCTGGGCTTCTGCAGGAGCTGCAGCCAAACTACTGAACCATTCCAACCTCAATTTCCCTCCCTAAGTAGGGGGTCCGGTTCCTTCCCAAGGCCACCCTGGAGATGAAGTCACAGGTGGGTGTGGCGGGGCTTTGTTCCTTCTGAAGCTCAGGACAAAGCACTGGCCGTCCCTCCCGCCCAGGCTGCTCCTGCCCAGGCGCCTCCATGCCAGCATGGAGTCTGGCGGTGGGTGGGGTGCAGACAGGATGGGCCTGCGGTGGCACTGGTGAGCACAGGGACAGCTGTGCAAGGAAACCAGGGCCCCTTGTCTGGGGCGGGGGGGTCTCTCGCTCTCCCTTTCTCTCTCTCCCTTTCTCTCTAGCATGGAGGAGACTGGTAGCTCTGTTGCTAGGAGACGAGGAAACCCAGTTATCACGAGCCACAGCCCTAGATGGGACTCTGGCTTCCATTGTTCCCATCTCTGCCTCTGGGTTGACTGTTACCCCTAAAGAGGAGCTCTGCCCCCACAGCCCCACCATCCTCCACGTGTGCCCCTCCGCCCAGCCTTTTGTCTCAGACTTGTGCTGCTAAAGCCGTGCCTCTGGACCACTGGGCCCCTGCCCGCCCCCTTCTCATCTCCTTTTTAATTTAACAAATGTCACGGAATGACCTGCTGGGTGTAAGTTTGCTTTGAGGATTAGGGCCTAGAGAAGAAATCATGGAGCGACAAAGCGCCGAGTGTGGGAGGTGGGCCTGGGGCTCCAGGGCTCCATCTCACCCTTGGCTGCCTCTGTGGCCACCCGCTACGGGTGGAGGATGAGGCTCCCATACACAACCCACCCGCAGCAGAGACAGGAACTGGAGCCTCCATGTCCTGGCTAGGTGGCCATGGGCAAATCACTGAAACTCTCCGGGCTGCAGTGTCCACCTTTACAAGATCCAGGAAGTGACAGCACCTGCCCCCCAGGCTGCTGGGAGGTTAAAAGGAATTAGCATGAACAAAGAGCTTAGCGTGGTGCCTGGCACCTGGTGAATGCGCAACAAGCACCAGCTGCCATTCCTGCTATTGGAATGACGATTAGGGTCCCGGGAACACACAGGGGAGGGCCTAGAAAATACGCTGCAGCTGCTTCTGGGAGTAAGGACCAATGGGCTGCTTCTAGCTCCTGGTGCTCTAGGACCAGGGTCTAACCTGAAGAAAGTCCAAAAACGTATTAACCAGCAACTAGGTGTCTTTGACTGTCCAGCAGGACCCCAAGGGCATGGCCCAGCGCAGGGAAGAGCTGATGAGGAAACTGAGGTCCAGGCCCAGGCCCACCCTCCCCGGCCTGGAAGGACTCACTGCACGTGGTCTCCGACTCATCAGAGCCATCGGGACACTCCTCCTCGCCATCACACTTCCACCGCTCGGGGATGCAATGGCCGTTGTCGCAGGTGAAGTCGCTGTCCACACACGTCTTCTTGGCTGCAGGGCAAGGAGAAGAGTACGTCGGGTCAAAAGGGCACGGGAGGCTCTTCCTAAGACACCCAGTCAGGGGCCAAAGAGCAACCAGAAGGTATGCAGTCTAAAAGCCAGGTCACATGACCCCCCACAGCACCTCGAGGCCACGGAGTACCTTGCCACGCAGAAATGCTGATCCGGGCTACAGCAGCACCACACCGAGACCTGGAACCCCTGGTTCTGCTCCTCAGCGCAGAGCTCGAGCTCGGCAAGGTCAAAAGAGTCCATCGCACCCTTCTTGCCCCCTCAGAACTCACTTTTGCTGTCTCCACGTCCCGGCAGCTTCCCCTCGGCCCCTCTGGTCCGTTCATCCAGTTCTCAGCCCTTTTACCTGCCCGCCCCATCCCCATCCACACTGCACGTCATGGCCCCATCCAAAAGCACCCGGGAGCCGGTGGCGATTCTGGTGAGAGATAATCATTCGGTGTCATAATCATGAAGGTAGTTCCAGAGCAGGAGGCTCAGAAATGGCAAGGTTGGTCTCTTCTCACCCCAAAGAAGAACCCACTAGGGTTCTTCAGCACAGAAGAACCCACTAGGCCTTCGGGAGCCCAGAAACTCTAAAGTGCAACTCTGAATGACCTTGGGGCTGGATGTGACATCGGGGCTACCTGGATACTGCCTCTCCCTAGTGTGATCCCCTCCCCACTCTCCCGCTTTCAGTCTCCACACTTGCCGAACGGGCCCCACCTCGACAGCTGGCGTCCCCGTGCGTCCCACACCATGCACACCATCACGCCTTGCTCATCTTGTCCTTGGTCTGAAAGCCCTTTCCGCAAACACCGCCTCTGTCCGTTACACACTCAGCTACCGCCTTTTCCAAGAAGCCTTGCCTGGACCAGGGGTTCCAGGTCCAGTCTTTGTCAAGGCCTCCCCTGAGCTCCCCTAAATAGCCTTCTAGAGCAGAGGTCATCAAACGTCCTCTGTAAAGGGCCAGAAAGTAGATATTTTAAGCTTTTGTGGCCATACAGTCTGTCACATTATTCAATTTTGCATGTGCAGCAGAAGCCACCACACACACGAGGTAAAAACATGAGCACAGCTGTCTTTCAATACCATTTTATTTGCAAGAGCAGGCAGCAGGCTGGATGTAGCCAGCGTTCTGTAATTGGATGACCTCTGCTCTAGATCATCACTGATCTCATGCTCGACTATGGTCTGTACACCTTCCTGCCCTCCAGCACAGCCCCCAACTCAGGGTAGATCTCAGGGGAGAGTAAGCCAAACACCCAGCCTCTGCGCCCGCACCGCCACACCCAGGACTCCCCTGCTCCCACAAAGTTCCTTCCCACAAGCCAGTTTCCTCTGTGGTCCTCTAGCTGCCCGCAGGGATCTGGGGAGGGACTGGTTCCCTAAATCCATTTCTGCCTTTCTTTTCCACAGAGTCCTTGAAGTGCATCTGCATTCTAAGATGAGTTTTCTTCACATTTTCCTTAGACAGATGTGCCTGTGTTTGTGCAGGGCTGGAAGAAGCCCAAGAAATCACAGTCCGCCTATAGTTAGGGAGCCTGAGGCCTGGGGAAACACAGCAAGACAGGAATAAGACCCAGATTCCTTGCCTTTCAGCCCAGAGCCCGCAGCAGCCCTCCGAGCCCTGTACCAAGTCATGATTAGTCAATCCCGATGCCACCTTTTGGCGAATCATAGTCCATCTAAAGTGAGCACAATATGAACCACAGCACTTGGAAACTATTTCCCTGCAAGAAGCCCAGCACCCACAGTGAGAAACGCACATCCCAGGTTGTCTTTCTCCTGTCTGCTGAGCACTTCCCATACAGCAGTCTCTGCTGTGTGTTTTACCTAGGAAACTTTAGAAGCGGGCTTCTCGTGTTCTCTCGTGACGTATGAGGAAGCCCAGGTCCACAGACATTAAGTTATATACCTTCATCACATCTGGGTGAGCTCACAGTCAGATGCGCCTGCCTTTACCCACCATGGCTCCCCAACAACACTCCACAGGAGAGGTGGAAGGCAGGCAGGCCACGGAAGGAGGTGGGAAAGCCCCATAGAAGGTTTAGCCAGCAATTTACGAGCTCTGCCATCGGACACAAAGGACAAGGCATTACTCAGTCCCCAGGAGCCCAGCGCAAGGGGGCACATCTATCTGGCAAGGATGCATGACGGGGCAGGGCCTAGAAGAGCAAGGCAGGTTTGTAGGTGATGAGGGGGCTCTGTCACTGGCCATGTGACAGCCAGACTCTCTCCAGGACACGTTCTTCCCTGGCACTCTGGAAGCTCAGGGGTGCGCTTGGCCTCCTTCCACGTACTAAATCCTGATAGGCACTGGGAAAGACCAGAGCAGCCAAAAGCACCAAAACCCCAGAGGGCAGCTCGGAGGCCCTGGAAACAGCAGTGCAGGAACGGTGTCCCTGATGGTGTTTTTCAGAGAAATCTGCTCACTGTCCAGGCCACCCTGGACATTTTCCACCCGGGCTCTGGCCTGGCATCTTTCACCCACACCCCCAGTGACTCCTCACAGCTACGGTTGTAGCTGTTGCTAATGTGCTCTACTGAAGAGGAAACCAAGGCTCAAAGAGGTGAGGGTGGGAGGTGGCAGAAGTGGGATTTCAACTGCATGTGGCTGTCTCCATGAAGGCCCCCAGCCACCGTAGCATCCTCCTGCTAAGCATGCAGACCGGAGAGGCAAGGTCAAGGCGGTGGGGGAGATCAGCCACGTAGCACAAGTATGAATGAGAAGTGGGCTGCGGCAGTGTGCCCAGAGCGTGTGGCAGAGTACAACACCTGCCCTGGAACCACTTGTGCTCTGCTAATGTTCAACCTTGGGGAAACTGAGGCAGCATGGTCAAGTTTAGGTTTGGGGTCAGAATAAACCACTATGGAAGGCCCAGTTGGAAGTGTAAGCACACGGAAGGATTTGAAATCAGAGCTGAGCCTGCCGGCCTGCCATGGCCACCTCCTCACTGGGTGACCCGAGGCAAGCCTGTTCCCTCTCTGAGCCAGCAGGACGTGGCTTTCCCATGCAGCGCTGCCACCAGGGCAAATGGCATAAAGGCTCTCCTCGGCACTCTCAGGAGGGGCCCAGCGTCAGGCCGAAAGTCCCATCGAGAGGCCATCTCAGCCTTGCCACGGAAGCAAGCAGTCGTAAGGCTGCAGAGGAAGCCAGGCCAGACCGCTCTTTCTGGGCCTTGGCTCTGGTTCCCAGCGTGATTCCCCAGCTGGGCTGGAGGCCGTGGCTCCGTTTCCAGGGATTTATGTCCTTCCATGCCAGTCTGCCCCTTGGACAATGCCCACCTCTGTGAGTCCCTGTACTCCACGACCCAGGAGTGATACATAGTCATCCAGGGTCTGCGACATCATAATCTAGTGCCATGGCAACAGATAGGCTGCCACAAAGGACTCAGGATTCCAGAGGGCAGAGAGGAGGGGCCAACCCCAGGACAGAGCGGGGACAGTGGGAAACCCAGGACAAAGGACGTGGGAGCTGCTGTTTACAGCAAGAGCACGGGCCGATGACAGTGTCAGACAGTACACGGCCAATCAGGCTGCTCAGCCACACTGGGTTGTGTGACCTTCCTCAAGTCACACGACGGCTCTGAGCTCCCCTCTTTATCTGTCTCTGCCTCACAATGCACACAGGGCTGCTATGAGGAACAAATGGGCTACGGATGGTGCGGGGCTTTATAAACAGAAAAGCCAAAAGGCACAGGTCTGAAAAGTGTGGCTTCCCAGCCCCAGCCCCAGCAGCTGCATGTGCGGCACGGGGTCCTTCAGGCAGCTGCCTTGGGCCCCCTTCCTCATCAGCAGACAGAGGTGGGTACTGACTGAGTCTCAAGCCCCTCTCCTCACCCAGGCTGCGTGCTTACAAAATGATTACAATCACTCAGCACCTCTGGCATCCCTGAGACACGGCACTTCCTCAGCCGCTGTGCCACCCACACCCACGCTGCAGCCCAAGGCAGAGCTCAGTCAGGAGGCCCAGGAGAGTCGCTCATGGGCCTTTCTCCTCCTGCCAGTCGGTGTCCCTCCCTGCCAGAGCCTTCCTATTGACCAGAGAAGTCACAGCTCAAGGACAGCACACACCCATGGGGGGCTGCACCCAAGCGCAGGCATCGACTGCTGCTTCCACGGCGCAGCCAGAAAGCCAGGGGTGGCTGCGGGAGGAGGCCCTGTGTGTAAGGAAGGAGGCAATGAGCTGTGGGAGTGAAAGGCCGCGGCAGGAAGAGGGGTGGAGGGTCTGAGTGAAGATGCCAGCAGAGGCACTGGGTGGAGGTCGGTGGCAAAGGGCCTGGGAGCTCCACCAGGCCAGGGGCCAACAGGTCCCAGCTGGCACAAGCCGCTCAAGAGAGCCAGCACAGGGCCCAGCTTTCCCTGAGCTCACCCAGGACCCATCCAACCTCTTGTGGAGCACAGGACTGCTGCTCAGGAACAGCAAAACCCATGGCTCAAGCTGTCAGACCCTGCTTTGGGGTCGGTAAGGCTGGGCAACCTGGCCAATTGGCCTCTATCAGGAGGAGGAGGGGCAGGGGCAGGACAGCGAGCAGGAGTGGCCATCTACCCAGACATCTGGGATATACACTCTGCCCTTGGAGGTTCGTGATGCTGGTGACTGACTACAAGGGCCCAAAGAAGGCCTGCAGCAGACAGCTGAGTGACTGTTCCCTCCAGCACTTCTGAACTTGTTCAGTCAAGAAATTCTCATTGATTTCCCAAGAAAAAGTGGCCAAGTGAACCATCCCCAGGAAAACACTACCTACTTCAACAAGCCTGTTAATCGTAAGACGAAACGAGCTCTGCAGAATGAGTCTGGCTCCAGTCCCCCAGCAGGGTCAGCCCCAGCAGATGGAGAACCACAGGAAAAGGCACACAACATTGAGCCCAGAGTGGAGCTGTGGGGACCCCAGTGGGGAGACTCCCAAGCTCAGAGCAGAAACTTTTCAAGAGGACGGCTCAGGATGAGGGTAACAGATTGATACCAGGCCACCTGGGTCCGAGAAACGAGAGAG